CGGGATCTAGCTCACTTTTCCCTATCTAATATACGAATGCCAGCTTCCAAATAGACCCAGTTTAAGCTGCACACGGGGGGGAGGCCTCCCAAATCAGGTAAAATGAAGGGAAGCCGGGTAAGGGGGTGGCAAACCGGAGCAGGATTAGGTGGACGGAACCTGAAATTACCCCAAGACGCCTGGGCCTGTGGCCTCGGCGGATTGTTACTACTACTGCTGCTGCTACTATTAATTACTTCTGCTGCTACTACTACTACTGCTGCTACTACTGCTACTACTACCATACTACTACCATACTACTACCACTACTACCGCTACTACCACTACTACCACTACTACCACTACTACCACTACTACCACTACTACCACTTCTACTACTTCTACTACTACTACTACTACTACTACCGCTACTACTACCGCTACTACTACCGCTACTACCACCGCTACTACTACTACTACTACTACTACTACTACTACTACTACTACCGCTACTACTACCGCTATACTACTACCGCTACTACTACCGCTACTACTACCGCTACTACCACCGCTACTACTACTACTACTACTACTACTACTACTACTACTACTACTACTTTCCTGATCTTTTTCTGGGTGGCGCTGTTCTCCCCTTGCCTCTCCTGCCTGCAAATGCACGCTTGATAAGCCGGGATGGGAAAGGGGAACGTGACTTGTGAGCTTCAGCGCTGCGACTTAGAGTGAGTGCCAAAATGTCCACCTGGAATGGCAGGACTGGGCGGATGCGGTCCTGCAAGAGGCCTCGGCTGCGTCGCTTCTGCACTCCTTGCTTGCCTGCGTGTGGCCGTGTGGCATCTCAACCGCAGGACTGGGAGGCTCGGCGTCAGGCCGTGCAGGCGCTTGGACGGCTGCCCACAGCGCGGGGCGACTCGCGAGCCCTGGAGCTCCCGGGCCCCAGAAGGAGCATGCACTGCACCAATGCACTCCCGCCCGCCGGCCCGCCGGCCCACAGCCCCTATACCCGCACCCGAACATGCATGCGCGTGAGTATATGGGGAGAAGACAAGTTGGGATGGAGCAGTTGGTTTGTAGCATAAACTTGAAGCACTTGCCCAGGCTTGTTTGCAGCTGCCTCGGCGACTCGGATGCCTTAGTCCGACGTGCAGCTCTAGATGCAGGCAAAGCCGTCGGCTTGATCTGGAGTTCAGTTTCTGAGGGCAGAAGAGAAATTGGAGTGGGCAGTCCTGGCTGTGTGTAAGGACTCAGATGGACACCTGCTTTCAAGCTGAATTTTCGATTTGTTTTGGCAGGGAAAATTAGTTTTCTTAGGGCCTCTGCCGGAACTGGCGCTTTTCCATCTCCCCCAGCCGCTCCGGCCCCGCTAGACCCCATCTGGGGGGCGAGGTAATAATCTTCGTAGGATACCTTTCTGTTCGCTCGGCGATGGGAGTTAGCGTGTGGCGGCTGGAGCGGCTCTCGCAACATCGTTCCATCGTTTCAATTAAATGTACGTAACGCGCATGGAGCCGGGCAGGCGTGCGGCTTCTCATCCCAGCGCCCGTCAGCGAAGACGCCTCAGAAGAGGAGCCTTTCCCAAACTTTCGCAGTCTTGCAGCCCCCCAAAAATTTAAAATACAGGGAGCTCGGAACTGTAATTACATCAGATGAGGAAGCAAGGAGCGAGGGCGGCGTGGCAAAGTGCTTGCGTGGCTGGAATCCGTGCACAGACTAATGGCTCTCATGTTTGTGTGTTGTGTGTGTGTGTGTGTCTTTCTGCGCGCAGGTCTGCGTGCACATTTGCGCGCGAACGCATGTGTGTGTGTGTGTGTGTTGTTCGAATATATTCGAAGTGTTCCATTCACAACCGCCTCAGCAGTATTCCTCTGTGCACTCTCTCCACCTAGCCTGGGACGGAAAGCTGCGAAAACTTCGGTCTAGGCTCCGGCCACAGGGCAGGGCCGGCTGAGAGAAGGAGAGTGATCGGATCGGCTGTGGAAGGGCCGAACTCCACAGCGCTTCGCTATGCTTCACTCCACTCCAGTCCGCTTTTGCCAGGAAGCCAGCGCGGCCGCAAAGGTTTTGACACAGGTCTTCTGCTTCGTTCTGTTCTATGCATGTACAGCCTCTGCCAGCTCAGCGGCTGCAAGGTGCAATGCTCCGAGCTGTGCTGCAGCTTCGTTGAGAAGGTGCGGAGTGCGGTCCTCCTGTTCTTTTCAACTGGGCGAGGGCCCTTCAAAATCGAATCAGCAGCTTCTCGTATCTGTGGCTAGCGCAAAAGCCAAGTCGGAGCAGGCAAGCTCTCTCTGAGCGGGTCGTGTGAAGGTGTTGCATCTGCTTCGAGGAGACGAGGACTTGCTGTGTTTTGCTCAATATGGGTTCGTGCTGAAATGCACAGCAGACTTCGATCGAGGACTGGGGCGTGCGCCGTGTGGCGATGGCCTCCCTGGCTGCGGCTGCGCCCCGCGGCTGCGAGGGAGCCCTGGTGGCGCTGCAGGTCCCCCAAAGGGTGCTGCAAAAATCCGAGCGGCTGGGATGGGCGTGGGTTCCTATGTCTTGCAGCCCTGGAGTTCCTTAGTTACTTTGTCGATGGACACCGTTGTAAGCGACAACTGGACCTGCATGGCAGCTGCTGCTTTGGATGTTTGACGCAGGCCGTGGTGAGTGACGGTTAGTGGTTTTGCTGCTTCAAGGGCAATCTGGGACCATTCACGTCACTGCCTGCAGCCATTCCTCACCGACGCCGACGACGACGTTCGCGCGGCAGCAGCTGCGGCAGCTGGACGCTTGGCGCCGCTAGGTGATGAGGTGGCTCGTGAGGAATAACATCCCTGACACCATGCAACAGCCCGAGTCTTGAGGTTCCAGGCTTGGCAAAGGGGGCGTAGTCATGCGACCTGGGACATGCCAGGCTTGGATTTCTCCTTTGCTGAAACTTCTCGAGGACGATGACGAGGCTTGATTGCTGTTTGTAGGCCCCTGGCGAGGTGTTGAAGAGACTGAGTTAGAGCATAGCTAGTTAGCTAGTTGGACACCTCCATCGGATGAACCGGACTAGCGCACTTCCCAGGCCGTAAATCGAGGTAAGCAAGCTTGACAGAATTCCGTGGTATCTGTGCTGGCACATGTATGCAGTAGGAAGGCGGGTTGTGGTGGTTGTGTTGTTTTGCTTCTTTGTTGTGCTTGTGATGGTTGTAGTGTGTGTTGTTGTCATGATTGGCGTCAACCGAGCCTTACTGCCGGAAGTGTTCGTCCTAGGCAGCGTTCTTGGCAGTATGATGCCGACAGCAATCATCAACGGTGCAATGGTTCGGAAGCACCGAGCGGATGCCCAGGCCGTCCGACAGGCTGCATTAATGGCCGTGGCGCGTACAGCGCCCAAAGGCCACCGGGGTGCCTTGGAGGCTGGGAATGTCCGCGTGAAGCAAATGCGGTAGCACCCCTGAAACCCTCTGAACCGCTATAATGCCATGCCCCCGATATGCATGGTTTTTGAGCATGAGCATCAAACTGCCCATGTCCCCCTCTGTGGCTGTTCCTGCTTAATGCAGATATTCACCATAGGTACCCACAAATAAAAAGAGGCACGGCCGCAAAGATGTGAGGAGAGTCTGCGCGTCTCACTTGTCAGCGACACTGTGTAGATGCTAGAGATGCCTGGACGGAAACCTGGCACGAAGCTGGCTTTGGCTTGTGAACGTGAAGCCCGGAAGGCAAAGGCAATCCTGACGCGATCGCAGGTGATTACAGAGTTTGGAAACGCCCTCAGGGAGAGTTTGTTGGAATTGTTTCAAGCCGAAACTAGGAGCTTTTACACGATGCTTAAGCTTGAGGAGCATTTGTGGCCCTGTGCTTGTGCAACACAGATCAGCACCGTATAGCCTTGTTACACTGGCAATCCTGTTGAATCAAGTAGCAGAAAATGCTAATCGTGAGGAAGCTCACGATTTCCAGCAAAGCGATTTTAGCTTGCATCGAAATTTAACCTTCAGTGATGGGAGATCTATCAAATTCAGGGCGGCAGGAGTGCTTTCCTACGCAGACTCGCTCCAAGGCAAGGTGTGAAATCATCAAGGCTGTGAATCAATGTGGCGGTGATCACAGACTGACCTTTCTTCATGTATGACCTGTGTCTGGTGCAATGCAAGAGAAGGCTGTATGAGATGAGTCATGAAGCCTGACTCCGAATGTGTCTTCGTCTGGTCTGCGGAGGTTGGAAGCCCAAGGCATCATATTTCCAAAATTGTCAGGATGTTCACACATTGCCAATGCGCCTGTGAGGCTACCCTTTTTGGGCCCAAGCACGAGACCTTCTCCAAACTGAAGAGACGCCAAAATACAAAGGAAACGATGTCCTTCTTCGTCGTGAAAAGCACCGCCGAAAAGGGAGGTCGCACCAGGTTTCTACCACAAGCACCTACTTGCAAAGTGCCATGGCGATGGCGGTTGCAAACCTCGACATGGCCGATAAAGAGACGCGGCGGAACACAAGACGACACAACAGAGATGACACTGCGGTTTTGATGTTTGGCGAATGACTTGAGGACATTACCGGATGGTGAACCTGCATGCTTGATCGGATTGGAGGTTTTGCCGGAGCTGGGCCCTCATAACTGTGATGCGTACCAACGAAGACCTGAATGCCGTGTAGTGTAGACTCTAGACTTCAAGAGCAACCTGAGTTCCTGAGAGTTAGGGTGTCTCTATGTGCCCATTCAGCATCCTCGAGGACTTCCAACGAGGTTCCGCAGTTTCTCGGATATGCCGGCATTTTGAGATTCCACAAACAAGTTGTCGGCCTGTAGGTTTGCAATTTCTCCGGCAGGCAGTGGGAGATCTAATGGACGACGATGATGCCATGCACTGAGAAGTTATTCCTGCACCTTGCAGATAGAGGCTTCCTCGCATGTAGATGAGCAGCTCCTGTAAAGGCGTTGGAATCAGCTCGTCAGTAGTAAGTCTGTTCCCGGCACCTAGGACAAAGTCAGGCGCCTTGCGGCAACAACGCTCCGCGCCTTACGCAGATGAAAAAGCTTGTGCGTGAAAGCGTGACCGGTCCATTGCCGGCCTTTGTTGATCAACGATCCGAGAAGTCACCGGGCACCGGGGCCTGCACACAGGAGCTTTACGGATTCTCCAATATCAATACGGGTGAATGGACAGATGGACTGGCCTGCTTCCCAGACCTTACCACCGCCATATGGCATATTGTGGCTCCAAGCGTTGGGCAGGAGAACGGCACACCCCAAGCCATTTTAAGGTCGCACTTCTGGTGCGAGAGGCCGTAAGCGACACTTCGGACAGCAAGAAATGGGTCGGAAACTCGGACTCCGCGCCGACGTGTGCCCTCGTGTGCCCGGCATTGCAGCTTGCGAGGTGGTCTTTGACGGGCCCGTGGATGCCATCTGGATCGAGAACATGAACACGGCGACTGCCTCAAAGCGGTGAGTGAGGACGGTGAGGACCCTGAGTCCTGAACGTTTTCCTGGAGGTGCTGGATGACAACAAGATGCTCTGCCTCGCGAATGGCGAGCGCATCAAGCCGGGCACTCGAAAGCGTCGCTGTGCAGCCAAGAAGGAGGAGCCAGGGCTGCGCTCTCTCTCTCTCTCTCTTGCTCTCTCTCTCTCTCTCTCTTGCTCTCTCTGCTCTTAAGGCTCCCGCCGACCATGACCATGCTCTTCGAGGTGGCCGACCTGAAGGCCCCAGCCCCACAGGGCGGCCCGAGAGCCTTCAGCTTCTTGTGGCGCCTCTGCAGGTGGCCTCGCCAGCCACCGTGAGTCGCTGTGGCATGGCCCGGGTACCCAGATGTCAGCTGTCAGCTGTGTCTTGCCTGTAGTGATGATGCTCTTCACAGCTTGAGCACGGAACGTCGCGGCACGTCTCCGCGAACCGCTCCTGCCGGAAGGCTTTCCCCACGACTCGAAAGGTGTTCGAGCTCTCTGGAAAGCGTGGGGATGCCGAGGTTTTGGCGGTGCGGAGCGCAATTCACGGCGCTAGGCGAAGTGACCCGTCGCGTGAAGAACTATGGCGCGGGCCGTGGCCGGGCTTCGTCGTCCGCCTCAACTGTGGGCTCATATGGTAGGTATTGGAGGGTTTCCGCAGACGCGAAAGGAAAACTCAGGCTCTTGGAAAGCGGTACAGACCAGTTGGACATCCGAAGCTTCCATCGTCATCTTCGAGCACATGATACCAAGAACATGAGCTTAGCTATCCATCTGTCTGTATGTTTGTCTCGGTCGGTGCATATGCATATCACACAAGTTCTGAGCTCGGCGAGAGTTCCGCTTACAGTAGATGCGGAAGGAAACACAGGTTCACCCGCACGTCGGCTGTGAAGGCGGTTTCCTCTCAGGGGAATTAGGAAGAGCCGTTGACAGCCGTCGCTTAGGTGTACCTTGAGCCTGTCCACTTGGGCTGGAAGCCGCTTGTTCAGAGCCTCGGCAGACGGGCAACGGGGACGCGGATTTGGCAACACGTCTGTGGGCCTGGCGGCATCTGGCGGCTAAGCGGCTTCGGAGCTCAGGAGTTGGGCAGAGAATTTCAAGAAAAAGCCAGGGACCAAGCGGGGGATCTTGGGAGTCCCATGACAGGGCCTCGACGGTCCCAGGTATCCCAGCCACAGCGACACCCTGAAGAAGTGGGTCATTGATCTTTGCGACAAGGCCCTGCCCTTCCTGCGCGAGGCGAGGACTGCGACGGTGGTCTTCAGCCACAAGGCGAAGCTTGAAGTTTATCTTGGAACCCTGCAGGAGTGCAAGGAGGCTCCCGGCATCCCTTCGGTGGACACGAATCTCGCCCCTCGAATCTGAAGGACACAATCGGAGACAGTTGGAAGATGCTAAGTTTTCGGTTGATTGACGAGAGCTCCAAAAATTTTCCAGCCAGGGGAAGCCTTGCGCCAGCAGAAGCATTCTGAGGAGTTGAAGCACTCAACCGCTGAACTTTCGCACGTGCAGCTGGAGCACTATTGCTGTGGATAGTATGTACGACATAGCTTATGAAATGCAGGCCGGAGCTGTAGCCTGCTTCAGATGCCATGTCTGCCAGATGTCTCAGGTGGCCTCCTTCCTAAAGATGCTCACGACCTTCATTTCTCCTCAGCATGGCTTCAAGCTGGAGGACACGACAGCCCACGTGTACTGTGTACTTTCTCGAGTATCCCGGCTTAGCTTCGAAGGAGGGCCGGGAAGGAAAGGCGACGCAAGCAGAGAACAAACACGAGAAGGCCGGGGCAAAAGATTGCACAAAGAGAGCGGGCAGATTGAGACGCGCGATTGCAGGCAAGAGGGAGCGAGGAAGACCGCAAACTTCAACCCAATGTCATCCTCCTTAAATCGTCTCGCCTATCTATCATACCAAACATTCGAACGAATAACAGCATTTCCACCCGGCTTTGGACTTTGTTCTTGTTGTGGAGGTCCTTGCCCGCATCTACTGTGCCTTCTCGGCCGTCTGGTCCCTGGGGGCGAACTTGCACGAGGCGGGGGCGCAGTTCCAACCACTGACAGCTCCGCCTCGAGACCTCTGCCCAGGCCTCCCGCAAGAAGTTCCAGGCAGGTCCCCGGCTTTTCTGCGCTCCCATCTTTCCCAGATCGTTTCAGACGCCGCAGCGGCGGGACAGGATTTCTTGCGTGCGCCCTTGCAGATGTTTTGCCCAGAAGTCGGGGACGAGGACAGAAAGCAAGCGAGTGCTGGCTATTAGCATGTGTTCTGGATTTGCTTGAAAGACGCTAAAACATCTCCAACTTCGTTTCAGTTAGAACGGTTTCTTGAGGTCAACATGCAGCATCGTGGTTGCATTTGGAACAGGGATGACCATCCGTGTTTAGTCTAGAAGCTTGCCAGGTCTACAAACGCAGAGAGACTGCGGTACCTCCTGCTGTGCTTAGTCATGGCCAAAGCTGGAACACCCTCAGCAGTAACGAGGCATGAGGCGGAGGACCTGTCGGAGCAAACAGCCTTGCATGATGCGTCTACGCAAGAAACTCATAAAGTCTGAGCTTGCAAGCCGTGACCGTCATTTTCGTGTCTGAGGGGGCTTGCAAAGGGCTTGACAGACTGTTGATCGTGTATGTTGTGGCTTGCCTGCAGAAGGATGAAGCCGAAATTCTCATAAGGTCCGAGCTTCCGCGCCGTGATTTGTTCACCAAAAGACTTTGATCCTGACAGTTGGCCAAAGCTTGAACATTTCCAGCAGTTGCTTCTGCAGACCATCTGTGTCAATGATGTGTGACGTGGAGGACCTGTCGGAGCAAACAGCCTTGCATGATGCGTCTACGCAAGAAACTCATAAAGTCTGAGCTTGCAAGCCGTGACCGTCATTTTCGTGTCTGAGGGGGCTTGCAAAGGGCTTGACAGACTGCTGATCGTGTATGTTGTGGCTTGCCTACAGAAGGATGAAGCCGAAATTCTCATAAGGTCCGAGCTTCCGCGCCGTGATTTGTTCACCAAAAGACTTTGATCCTGACAGTTGGCCAAAGCTTGAACATTTCCAGCAGTTGCTTCTGCAGACCATCTGTGTCAATGATGTGTGACGTGGAGGACCTCTCGGAGCAAACAGCCTTGCATGATGCGTCTACGCAAGACACTCATAAAGTCTGAGCTTGCAAGCCGTGACCGTCATTTTCGTGTCTGAGGGGGCTTGCAAAGGGCTTGACAGACTGCTGATCGTGTATGTTGTGGCTTGCCTACAGAAGGATGAAGCCGAAATTCTCATAAGGTCCGAGCTTCCGGGCCGTGATTTGTTCACCAAAAGACTTTGATCCTGACATTGGCCAAAGCTTGAACATTTCCAGCAGTTGCTTCTGCAGACCATCTGTGTCAATGATGTGTGACGTGGAGGACCTGTCGGAGCAAACAGCCTTGCATGATGCGTCTACGCAAGACACTCATAAAGTCTGAGCTTGCAAGCCGTGACCGTCATTTTCGTGTCTGAGGGGGCTTGCAAAGGGCTTGACAGACTGCTGATCGTGTATGTTGTGGCTTGCCTACAGAAGGATGAAGCCGAAATTCTCATAAGGTCCGAGCTTCCGGGCCGTGATTTGTTCACCAAAAGACTTTGATCCTGACAATTGGCCAAAGCTTGAACATTTCCAGCAGTTGCTTCTGCAGACCATCTGTGTCAATGATGTGTGGCGTGTAGGACCTGTCGGAGAAAGCACAGCCTTGCATGATGCGTCTACGCAAGACACTCATAAAGTCTGAGCTTGCAAGCCGTGACCGTCATTTTCGTGTCTGAGTGGGCTTGCAAAGGGCTTGACAGACTGCTGATCGTGTATGTTGTGGCTTGCCTACAGAAGGATGAAGCCGAAATTCTCATAAGGTCCGAGCGTCCGCGCCGTGATTTGTTCACCAAAAGACTTTGATCCTGACAGTTGGCCAAAGCTTGAACATTTCCAGCAGTTGCTTCTGCAGACCATGTGTGTCAATGATGTGTGACGTGTAGGACCTGTCGGAGAAAGCACAGCCTTGCATGATGCGTCTGGGCAAGAACTCGTAAAGTTTGAGGAGACCATGCGTTGTGCCAACCTGGGTAGCCCTCTGAAAAGAGTCTTTTCCCTTTTGCTACTGCTCGCGTGCAGGACCTCTACACACTATGTGTCAATGATGCCGAGGCACTGATTAGTCTCTGTAATGTTATTAGGAAAAACATTACATATTCAACTTTGTCACCCAGAGCTTGAGCGGGGGTCGACAGATCTTCGGATTTCGGTTCTGAGTGAAGAGGTGATGACAGGTTGGACAGTAGGGGCCTGGGATGGTTCACTCTCTGATGAGCTCTCTCGTGCAGGAAGCCGTCGCGGCACATCAGTCAGAATGTTGTCTTATAGCATCCCAGCAGTAAGAAAGCCTAGAGTCTAGACTTGAGGTGTGCTGGTAATGCATGCCCGCCGTGTGCTGTGTGGGCTCGAGCTCTTGGCTTGATCTCATTACCATCATAAACAAAATACCATGCACCCAGCAGCCTCGCAGTAGCAGTTTTTCCTTTGCGAACTCCTCCCTGCCGTAAGGATTTGCAGCCTTTTCGACCACTATATTTTCAGCAGCGGCACCAGCAAAAAAGTGTGTAAATCAATATTGGACTCTGGCATGTGCAGTCTTTTGTTCTTCTGCTGTGTGTGTGTGCTTGTGCCAGTGCTTGTTACTAAACACCTCCCCGTGCCAACAGCAAACACAAACACAGTCTTACCCAGCCGTGTCTCATTCCGAATCATTCGGGCCGGCACATTCCAATCAACATGAGTTTGTTTCACAGGGAAGAATATCATCAAATGGCCCGGAGCACTTGTTTTTTGCAGATTGGGAAATGCGGAGTCAGTGCCAAACGTCGCACTCTGCTCGGACATCGACTGTCGCACGCGCAGCTGTTGGTCAAGCAAACCCCATGGTGCATAGAGGAGACCCATCAAACTTGCGCCGGAAACATGCCAGCTTTCTCACAGCCAAAGTTGTCGAGTAACGGCCAAAGACAGTCACTAACAACGCAAGAACTCAGTCAGTAACAACGCAAGTCCCCTCTGCGCATGCGGCCACATAGTTACTGCAGCGCTGCTCGTTTATGGACGAAAGGAGGGTTTTCCAGTCGAACAGGCAAGCAGGCGTTTGACTGGGTTTTGGAGGTTTTCCGCCCGCAAAAGGAGGGTTTTCCAGTCGAACAGGCAAGCAGGCAAAACCCCCAACACGCAGTCAAACGCCTGCTTGCCTGTTCGACTTGAAAACCCTCCTTTCGCGGGCGGAAAACCCCCAAAACCCAGTCAAACGCCTGCTTGCCTGTTCGACTTGAAAACTTTCTTTCGCGGGCAAAACCCAGTCAAAGGCCTGCTTGCGTGTTCGACTCGAAAACCCTCCTTTCGCGGGCGGAAAACCCCCAAAACCCAGTCAAACGCCTGCTTGCCTGTTCGACTCGAAAACCCTCCTTTCGCGGGCGGAAAACCCGCAAAACCCAGTCAAACGTCTGCTTGCATGTTCGACTTGAAAACCCTCCTTTCGCGGGCGGAAAACCTCCAAAACCCAGTCAAACGCCTGCTTGCCTGTTCGACTTGAAAACCTTCTTTCGCGGGCGGAAAACCCCCAACACCCAAACGATAGAAAAGTGTTTTCGAACGACGTCATGCATGTGACTACGCGCTGGGATTGGGCGGGAGTGACGGGTCCAGAAATTGAGTTTGCATAACTTGCAACGGCAGCCGCTTTACGCTGTTACCCTGTTTCCTGGTTGCGCTGTTACTCTTCTTGTTCCTGTGCTGTTACTTGGCGCTCTCTAACACCGTTCATATTGAGGCTTCTGATGTGAAGACTAATCGTGTGCCAAGACTTGATGAGCGAAAAGCTTATGTCCGGGACCTTCGTCTCCATCTACAGCCCCACAGCTTTCGAACAAAGCGAAGCACACAACCAGGTCAGACAAGATGACAAGCGTGAGTGCCTGTCTCTCTTTTTTTTTCTCTCTCTCTCTCTCTCTCTCTCTCTCTCTCTCTCGCTCGCTCTCTCTCTCTCCTCCTCTCTCTGTTTACGCTCCTTTTGGGAAGCCGCCCTTGCAATCGGTGCTTTTTCTCGGGGGCGTTGCCCGTGTAGGGGCCTGCAGGGCCACGTGGAAAACGCGATGCGGAGTCGCGGGGTTTTCCGCTTGTGACTCGTGACTTCCTTCTGTCGCTCCTGCTACGTAGCGAGGAAAAGAGGGATCCGCGGGGTTCCCTGCGTTGTGGGATGATGGGTGTGTGCCCTGCACCGTCTCCAGTTAGCGGCGAGCTCATGAGCACCAAACATATTAGAGCCATTAATGCTTAATTGGCTGTCGCTAAGCATTCTTGCCTCTTCCTGGCATGACATACTTGATTCGTCTGACCTTGACCCCAGCCCCAACATGTCCGACTCAATGAACCATGTACAGCGAATCTCAAGGCACGTTCGCCAGTCATACTGTAGAGCCTAATGCCCTGTGCTGTCCATGCTGGAGCCATGCCATCTGTGGGGAGAAGTGGCATCCAAAGCTTGTTGAAGAGCCTGGGGGTTGAAGGCAGCCCTGTGGAACTACACACATGCCGAAACACTTGCTAGCATGCTGATGCTTGTTTTTGTGGCACCTTGAATCTCATGTCTTCGCACCGTCGTAGCATGATGCAAATGACAACATGTCGTGAGGCCAGTGGTGGCCTCAAACGCCGCGGCAGGTGGGCGAGAGTTTCGTAACAAGGGTGAAGCAAGCAGACGACGCTGCTTGAGCATACGCGTTCTCCGCGTGTTGCGAGGTGGTTCCGTCAGTGTAGGGTCCCATTGAGAGTGCCACCCCGCACATTGCATTTCGCCAAATGATTATTTGCAGTCGGACCAGGCGCCAGCCCATGCGCCCGGAGCTAATCCAGGCAGTCACCACCGGGTTTGACAAGGTGTCCTTGTGTACTTTGACATGCCTTTGCAATTTTCGGTGCTCGGTGTCGCCCCTCTTTCCAGGAAGCATGCCGTGACTGTGTAGGGACTAGCGGGCTGCAACCCAACATGCCGCATGGGCATCGCATGGATACTGCAAATGCAGGGCGGCAGACATCGCAGAAGGACGGCGTCGCTGAAGTTGGCAATCGACTGTGGCATGAGCTTGAGCAGCTTTGAGCTAGAGAGATCCAGAGATCGAGAGACCCCTGTAAACCATAATTGCTCGGCTGGACCTCGCAAGCGTCTTCCTCCTCCTCCTCCCCCTCCTCCTTCAATCGTGACTAGTGACTGCCTCATGCAGAGCCTCAGCTTGCGCCTGTCCGTCCCATGACAGACCTCTGGTGAGTCCTATGATTCCTCGCCAGTTTTCTCTTGCCTAGGCGAGCTTCCTATGAAACCACATCAAACCAAAAGCATCACCAGAGGATCCTTTCGTTCTTGGCACTCCAGCCCTGGATAGTTCCCTGAGTCTTTTGATCGAGTAGTAGATGAGCCTATCCTTCCAGGATAAGAGCCAGCTCAAGAAGGCTCCGTCTGCTCGGGTTTAGCGCAGAAAGCCTCAAGGGCTGGGCGAACGCTGTCGCTGGGACTATAGTGACTATAGTTGACTCACGTCCACCAGGTTTTGTCTTGAGAGCAGGCACTTCGTAACCGCGGTGGTGCTGCGGAGGCCCCGCTGTCTGACTCCGCTCCTCCGCTTCAGAGGGAAACGAAGACTCTCTTCTCGCATTTCTCGCTTCCTCGCTATAGCCGCTATGGCCGTGGAAGGTGAACTCTAACAACGGAGCCTTGGGCGGAGCCGGCGGAGTTAGAGCGGAGAGTGGCTTCGGCCCGGGCCTCGCCGCCGCGCTGCCCAGTGCGACCGCCACGCTTCGGTCGATTCGCGGTATGGTTCGAGGCAATTTCGTGCATGGGGTGTCCGAGTCATGAATGACTTGTTATAGAAATCGTTGCTGGGTTGCTGGGGAACTGTTTGCAGAAATGCGCCAGGCATCAGCAAAGACACCAAAGAAGTCACCTCGAAGGCGCTGAGCGCTGCTAGCTTTGCGGCATCGCAGCTGTCAGAGCAAGGAGCAAGTATGATGAGCGGCCTGCGTATCCTGCGTTGGCCAATCACGGGTCCAGGTAGCATTCAAAAGCTCGGCTAACCCTCGCAGAATAAGTTGCACAGGCTCTGCCCGACCCGAAAGTCGGTCGCAGCGATTTCCTAGCAGAGAATCTTGGTAGAGGCGAGAGGAGCCTTGAACTCGCCAGGGCCGAGCCTCTGATGGAACCTCCCGAGAGAGGCGCGTGACATCGCGACTTGTCGGGTTTGCCATCCTTCCAAAATGCTCTCCACTCAAACAACCCTGATGCGGGTCACGTTGTCCATGTGCGCCAGCTGCCTCCTTTCACTGTGGGCCGGTGTCGGGCTGTGATTCGTGCTGGTGGTTCGAGTACTGTGGTTAGTTCAGGGTGCAGGATGTAAGCTGCGCAGGTTTTGGGGTATGCAGGTCGAGAGAGACAGAGAGAGAGAGAAGCGGTGGGGTAAACAAGCTCAGCCTCCGGAGTGCTCGAAGCTTTTTCGCACGTAAAACCGTGCACCCCTCCAACAGAACGGGCTGCTCCCGCGGGGGCATGCCCTCAAGCCTGGGGAAAGAAAGAAGCACCGCTGGATATACTGGGGGTGTTGCGCTTGACGAGGGTCTAAGGATATTGCCATAGAGGGCGCGGGGACGAGGCCGGGACGCGGGCTAGTGTGAAGGGTCGGGGGTTTACTGTCAAGCGCACGCTACCGCACATGCCGAGCTTTGGCTGCAAACCTAGCCGCTGCAGACCCCACAAGCCTCTTTCACCACCGAGTCGGGGAAGGGGGCGCCTTGGCGCGGGTCCACCTAGTGGACTTTCCCCTGAGAAGCGAAGAGAAGCACCGTGGGAAAGCTGACAAATTAGCGCATGAGTCGAAAACAGCTGTGAAATCCCTGACCGCTTTTGCCTTGATTGCACTAACTTGTGTCCTATCCAGAGTGATCTCACAGCGAACTTTCACATCCTCCCGAAGCCCCAGAAAATTGGGGGGCCTTGGCGACCGGAAAACCTAATTCGTCCCCTATGCCCTGCGGAAACCAAAGAGGGCTATAAGACACGATCCCCCCACAAGTCTGCTTTCACTGAGGAATAAGCATATGGAAAAGGCAGTCCGTGCGCTCTGCTTAACCAACCCCTATGCCCGGGAGAGAGAGAGAGAGAGAGAGAGAGAGAGTTTGTAGAGGGTAACCTCTACACCATAACCCTGGCGAAAGAAAGACACAGAGAGAGAGAGAGAGAGAGAGCCATTTTGGCTCAAGGCCACGAGTGGTCCAAGGTCCGAGCCCTGACTGAGAGAGGGCCTCAACCCGGGCGATCCGAGAGAGAGAGCCGGCGCCTCATACGTGCGAGCACCACTACTTGTGTGACACACTTTGCGTGTACTTGTACGGCGTTGACTAGCGCGAGTTCGGTGGCTTCGGTCCTGCACGGTGTCCTTGCGCCGCCCGTTCGGGACAAGCACGCCAACCTCATCGGGGCGATCGGCGGCCTACAGGGGGGCTTCCTGGACGGTCCGACCCGCCGCAAGACCTACGCTGGGCGGAGGAGAATCTCTACCCCTCGATCCGCCGCAAGACCCGCGCTGGGCGGGGGACTACCTGTACGTCAAGATCGCGAGCTATCTGCAGAACGGGGACCTCGCAATCTACACCATGCTGCGAAGAGCCACTTTCGTGACCGAGCAATTGTGGTGTTCCTTGATGTTTGCACCCGATGTGAGTGGAACTGTGAGAACGCCGTAGCACATGCATGAAGACAAATGCATGTCACGATCATGCAAAATGCGATTTGCTTCCCTCAATCCCTCAACTTTGCAGGACAGACTGTTTCCATTTACGGCCCGATATGGTCGCAAACGAGATTGTTTCAGTGCCGATACAGTTCCATTGCAATTTTGTTGCCACAAAGGGACTCAATTAGTTACCACCATGACCCGCCTTGAAGTGTGCCGCATCTGCTCAAAAGCAGTAGATGGGCCGTGAATGAACGCATGTTTTTTCCCTTTGCTGGCCCCTACAACTAGACTGCAGTGGGTGTGAGCCTCGGGGGTGATCCATGTTATATGTTTGCGACTAATGCTCGGGGCAGTTGCGAGGCACACATCGTGCGCGTTGTCTTAGCCTTTCGCATGTAATACCATGCATCCCGTCAACAGCGGGCAGCCCCACGGCGGGGGCTCGCCCCTCATGCCTGGCGAAAGAAAGAGAGAGAGAGAGAGAGGAAGGGGGGCCTAGGCCCGGGTCTGCCTGCGCAGACTCATGAAGTGAAGAGAGAGAGCGAGAGAGAGAGAGAGAGAAAGATATTGCAACGACCCTTATGCCCGGCAGAAAGAAAGAAAAGATATTGCAACGAGTCAGTGGGAAAACACTTGTTCTCGCTCCCTTCCAAAAGCCCCTACAAACGACGGGGGGGCCAAAACGGCCGAGGGGCTTTAACCGACCTTCAAGCCCCGGGGAAGAAGAGAAAGAGGGAGAGAGAGAGGTCGAACTGTCGGGGCGCACAAAGCGCGGAGTGGAGGGGTCATAAATAACACACCTTCACCATAGCCCTGGCGAAAGAAAAACATTGCCTGGTGACGGTGCTTATTGTTTGGAATTCCGGCGTGTCGCAATGGACCCCGAGTAGGGGCAGTGGGATTCTATAGGATGGACGCCTTGCTTCGGGTCCATGTCCTAGGCTTCTAGCGGCTAGCCGCGCTGGCGGCTCTGTGAGGCGACCGAGCTGGGCTCCGAGTGCCACATCCTTGGCCCCGCCCTCGACCTTGGCGAAGGTAACTCTGACTCCCTCTGCGCCAGACTGCCGGACGAGGAGCATAGCAGAACATAGCAGGATGCAACAGTGAAATATGTTCGTGTGCTTTACATCAGGTGGAAGGAGCCGTTGTCCAGATGTCTCGCATGGCCTTGGCCTCGTTGTCGGGGGGCCATGCAGCTGAGTAGCTGAGTCAACCCTGCAAGCAAAGAAGCAACCCATCTGTGAGAGCAGAGCAATCCCCAAGCTCCCAACGCCCATTTCGCAGTCGAGGTCGAGGCTGTGCGCGCTGCCGGCCCCGAATACCCAGCACCCGTTGCGGTCCGATTGCAATCAGGGCTCTGCTGTCGATGTTGACAAAACATGTGAGTTTGCGTTTCGAGCAGGTGTCTCCAGGCAGGTGTTTGAGTTCAAAGCTTGGGCTATGCCATCACTGCGTCGGCCGCAACCGTGTGTTCGATACCTTGCATGGTTTTGTGGTTGCCGAAAACAGAGCGGCAGGACGGAGTTCCAATAACACATGTGACACAGTTGGAAACATGGCTATAGCATGCTATAGCTATGCTGTTTATGTGTATGTATTATATCTTGCTGATATGTACGAACAATGAACTGTTTCATTTAGCATCACATCTTGGTTTTCTCAGCCAGGTTTCAAGGTTCAACAAGTGCAGTCGACAAAGCGTAGACGCAATCGTACTGGCAGTCTCATCGACTCCACCTGCATGTTTGACAGCAGCACTTTGCAGCATCAGCACTGCAATCACGAGCCTTCACAGCAGACCCCCTATCCACGCTAGGTGCATGAAGCCAAGCCGAGCATTGAAGCAAAGGGGGGGATCGCGGTCAGTTCACAGCGGTGCCATCCACCATTCACTTCACCTAACTTCACAGACGCTCAGGTGGCCCATGGTGACCAGCTGTGCCAAAGCAATGGTCTTGGCTTTCTCTCGGGTCAGTGGATCGTCCGCCTGACCGTGACGCTCGTAGCCCCTGCAGGATGCATCTCTCCAGCTGAACACTTGTGAACACAACTCTGAGTCTGAGTTGACCGTCTCAGGTGTGACAATAGTCACGGAGCCCTCCTTGCTTATGCGTGCTTCCCTACTCTGGACAACGGTTAGTCTCGAACATGTAAGCCAACACGGGATCATGGACAGAAAACGGTCTTGGCCCGACTCTGACGAGTGAATTCGGCTTGACTTGAGTGACCTCCAGACCACACTTGCACTGCATGGAAGAAGCACTCAGCAAAAGCACTCACAGACTTTCAGCTCGACCACAACTGGAAGGCACGCAAAAGCTGGCTGACATTCGTTGCGCCATGCTCTATGACTCTATGATGCGCACAACGAAATCGAGGCTTCCCTCGGCGGAGCGCCGAAGCGAAGGGTACGGAGACGGAGTAGATATGGGCCCTGGGCTGTAGCGGCTAGAGCTGGGCGATGTCTTCCTTGTCTCTTCTCTGAGGTCTGCAGCGAGAGCTGTCCCATCAGCTCTCGACGTGGTTCAATGCCTTCGCCACTCAGAAGTATGGCCTGGCACTCGGGGTGGCACCTATTGCCGTCTTAGACCGCAGGGGCCGGGCGAAGACTCTGAGAGCCGGTCTACTCGGCAGGATGGGAAACAGTAGCGGAATAGCAGAAGAGCTCATGCAAAGCCTGCATCGTCTCGACTGAGACGGCCGCGTTCCACCTCGTCTTACGAGCCTCGCCGCCGAGCCCAGACTGGCACCTGATTTCAGTTGCCTTCGGGCCATCGGGTCTGCAGACTTCTGAAACAACCAAAGACACCAGGTGTATCAAGCAGTGCAGCAGATAGTGAGCACAGTGGGCAGCAGAGGGAGCAGGCACCGTTGACCGGCCCTCGCTCGCGGGCTCTCAGGCTCTTGCGCACTCCCATCCTTATGGAACATAGACTAACATGATGTACTACAGACACAGCGAGAGAGAGGCGCACATCGCCACGCAGCATCTGCGTTGTAAGTGCACAGTCACGTACGAGTACCAGTGTCTGACCGAAGTAGAGCGAGCGCACTGGAGGAGAACCATCGAAGAACTGGGCGAGTGACTCTTCAACATGTTTACAGTGTCGCCTGTAGTCCTGTGGTCCTTGCAATGACGCGCCTTCACTATGTACTGGTCGTGGTCTTTGTCGTGGCGGCCGGCATGTTCTGCACGACGCAGTTTCTGTCTGACCCTGACCGCGGCGCGGAACTGCCTGGTGGGCCTGGTGCCATGCCAAAGCCTTCGCCGCCCTCACAGCCTTCACAGCCATCATCCCCTTCACCTCACACTCGCAGTCCGGCTACAGCCAGGGGCCAATTGGAGTGCCAACGTCACGAGCCGTTTCATCTTCCAGAGGACCTGCGCCACTGCAAGAACCCTCAGTACGCTGGCGAGTTTGGTCGTGGACCATGGACCACCCAGCTAGTCAATAACCCCTTGGAGCCTGGCTGCTGGAACGCCACGAACATATGTTCACCTTTCCAGTGCTTTGCGACCTGCATGACAGACGAGAACTGGCGTGGCATGATCAAGTACTGGGAGCCAGCACGGCCTGGAAGCCGCAAGGTCATGGTTTTCCAGTACGGTAAGGTGGCATCGACTGGGATCGTGAAGGGCCTGAAGTTGTTCGCAAATCTCACAGCAGCCCACGTCCACACTGCGGACCACGCGTTGCAGTGGCTGCAGGGGCGTCGTGTCCTCGTGCCGTTGATGCAGCAAGGCTTCGCGCTGTCGCGAGAATGGTCATTGAACCAAGGACTTTTGCAGTTTTTCTCAACCCTCTGCATGTGTCAAGTTTGTTTGCTAAGCCATCCCAGATGATCTAGGGCTTTAACGGTTTGTGCATGACATCAATGACAGCCTCCAGCCCTGCGGCCCTGCAGGAGATGAATGCATTATCATCACAGCAGCACGGAGCCACTTTTCGCGAGACCCATCCGAATATTTCGAGAACGTGTTGATGCCGAACCACCCTTATGGCTACCATCCCCGTGGTGTCCCGCGTAGGATGGACAAGCAACCGCGCCATGGTGAGAAGAGGTGGGACAGGGAGGACGTGCTCCGCATCGGCGAGCACAACGTGTCAGAGCTGATTGTGGACTTCCGCGCTCAGCACGACGCTGTGCTCGCGTTCTATGACAAATGGTTCTCAGGAGTGTTCAACAAGGCGACACAGCTGAATATCCTCGCAGAGCCTTTTGACTTGCAGAAGAAGTTCTCCTGGGTCCATGGTTCGCGATGCTCTGCTTTGGTGTTGCGGACGCATGGCTTGCATATCCTCCCCTCCTTCCACAAATTGCACACCCACCGATGTTAAAATCATGCTGTTCCCAGACCCTCACCATTTGGTTTTCGTGCGAAGCTCCTCCCTCCCTGTTCTTCCCGCCTTGGGATATCGTATTCTTGCAGCAGGTTGATGTATTTGATTCACTGAGCAACTGAGGTCAGAGGATTCGGAATCATGGACGGAGATCCTTTCGCAGGTATTCCCGGGCTTCAAGATGCCTGTCTTGTCGAATTCCGCTCAAAAGAAGTGGTACAGTCGCGCATATAAGGCGTTCAAGGGGAACCTCACCTGGACAAGCAGCGAGATCTTACGCATGTGTGCGACCGAAACGGAGCGACACTTCTACCAAAGAGATCCCGGGTCGCCCTGCCGTGCTGTGTAGAAAAAGCTTGGAAAGTCCACCGCGTCATGACGATGTGTTCCGCATCATCTAAATCCTTTTGCAAGCTGTCTGCCATGAGGAGACTTTTTGCTAGGACCCTGTTTTGGGATCACTTTCTGGGATAATTGTTTTCTTACACCCTCAGCATCTAGGGTCAGGAGCTTCGGATTCAGGTCCTTGCTTGACAGCCCTATACACCCCCCAAACCGTGCTTAGGCCTTCCCCTGGTGAACCGCCTGGTGGATCTTGGCCAGAAACGCCTGTGCCGAGGTCCGGCGCGGAGAGGCAGCGCATCATCGTCTCCAGGCACTCTAACAGAAAGTGCGAATATGTTTCCGGCTGCAGTGTAGGTTGTTCAGCCATCGTGTATGTTGCCTTGTGCACTGTGGCTTGTGTGTTGCAGTCGTGACTTCGGTGCTGTTTTCGCCGATGCTTTCTAACTGCGGCCAAGCCTTTCCACGACGTTCCAGAGCATTGCTTGTGATTCACCAAGTTGCGATTTGGATGCTGCTGCTGACCGGAGCTAAACTCAAAACCCCAAACCCAATATTGTCGCCGCTGCCAGGCGACGCTAGTCTGGTCTTGGACTGAGACGTGCATGGAAACGTCGTGTAGGGCGCTCATGACATCCGTCGATGTTTTTCGTTTGTCGTTTAACAGCTGTGAGAGTGGGCTACTCGAAACAACGAGTCGAAAAGGTGTCTGAGTTGACACGTCTAAACTGCTATTCAGAGTCAGTCGCACGGGCATTGTTCCGTCCTGTAAACGAATTTCAGCCGTATGTCCGCAGACTTTTCGTCAGTAGGGCTCAAGGATGCCAGGGTCCCGCAGTCAACACGTGGCGAATGGGGAGACATGGGGAGGCGAACTTCATATTTCAACTTCCTTGTGATCTAGTCGCCAAGGCTGCAGGCGCGGGATTCGGGGATACAACGCGTCATGTTTGCCACAGGAAACCCGAATGAGTAGTCACTGAGTAGTCTGAGCACATTCAGGAAATTGTGTTTCATGAAGCTGCCTACGTCTCAAGGTCTCGGGGCCGTCTCGAGGTTTTCTAAGGCTAGACGTTTGAGCGTTCAGATGTCGCACAGTGACGTCGCTGGGACACTGAGGCGCGGCCTCGAGATCCATGCAGAGCTGCAGCTTCTGCTTGGGGCCGAGAGATCATGCCTGGAACAGGGTCGGTGAAATAGCGACAGAACGAAGCTAGAGATGGCCATTGAGCCATGCATGCCTCGTGCTGTTTTATTGCAATTTGCAGTCGCGTGGCAAGTCGAGGCCAGGATCTGCTGTAGCAGTGGCCGATGCATGGACAGAGGTGCTCTCTGCCAGGATCCCAGCGCAGCAGCGCAGCGTGCCTAGAGAGCACTGGAGAGCTGCTCAGAGAGCAGCTTGGAGCTCAGGACGGCTTTGCGGACGCCTTGGCTTCAGCCTTGGCCTCCACGCGGAACCAGCCATTGGAGGCGCTCAGAGTCTCAGGGTAGCGGAAAGGGAGGAGCGTCCCAGAAGATATGCGAAGAAGGGATGAGGCGCAGGCAGTGCCCGGCAGGCCTTGCTGGAGGCTCTGCTTGAAGCTCCTTGGCGACACAGTGCCGCAAGCGATGCGCATCTCTGTGACCCTACGCCCTTCGGTTCCTGACCGTCAGCCTGCGGATGTCACGGGAAAGCTTTGCCGAGGCAGAAGCAGAAAGCGACGACGAGATGTGCGAGGACGACATGTTACGTCACAACACCTCGGAGCCCCCACAAGCCACAAGTTACTATCTTTGGAGACGGTCAGGTACTGTGACCCTGAGCAATACTCTTACTCTCAGCCCGATGGAGGAGCCCTCCTTCTCAACGTGGCTTGATGGAAGGACCGGGTTGCGAGGAAGCTTTGACTAGGATGTATGCCTTTGCACAGATCCATCCCCCAAAAGCATGCCGTAGACTCCTCGCTGGCCAAAGTGGCAGACAGGGCTTGGAATGCAGGAGCCTGCGGTCTTGAAAAGACCCCTCGTACTCGTAGCAGCGTAGCATGGGCATCGCGATTTCTCGATTCCTGTCTTCCAGGGCTCCACTCCTTCGCTTCGGCAAGGCGAGGGCCCAAGCCGCACTGAGCCAGCGGTCGGCATGCCATTTGAGCTGTCAGCTAGCCGGCACCTTCAGAGCCGCATCCGCCCAGTGGGAGCGCAAAGCTTGGGACTTTCCGCCTTCGCGAGAAGAGAAGACGGACCTCCGATGCTCTGGTGTCGGTTGGGGGGGAGCTTCGGTCTTCGGGAACGTTCTGTCCTCGTTGGTTGCGAGTTGGAGCGAGTTGAAGCCTCAAAGCATGGCACCAGCTTCGGTGCTTGCTTGGACAGCAGGAGCTCCTGATCCTTCACCTCCTCTCAAGCTCGGAGCGGCCGGCCGAGGACCCGCCGGGCCCGAAAGAGCTAGGCTAGGGAGGGCTGCTCCGGTCCGTGGTCTCTGCAGCTTCCCGTTTCGATGCGCGCGCGCGCGCACGCGCGCGCGCGTGTGTGTGTGTGTGTCCGTGGACTCGGTGAAAGAGACGAAATGTGCTCCTCTCCTCTCGGCATCATGCGGTGGGCACTGCCGTCCCTTTCATGCATTCGTTTGAAGCCAGTGCACGACAACCAATGCATCTAGAAGCCAAGGAAAAGCGAATCTCGATGAATTGCTGCGGGTTTGACCTACCCTGGACCTTCCAACAGCGCAACGGAATCAGGTTGTGATTGCTTGTCTATCCGTTTGTTCAACGAACAGTTAAGTCACGACTTGACTGTCTCGCTGCATGCTAGCAGAATCTCCCTAGAGACCTGTGCCAACGCTACATTAGGCCCAGCTAGACTACTTCACGAACGGGGTTGTAAGGATCTGTGCGTTCAGAACTGATTTAGATGCATCAGTTGTTTGTGTATGAGCTACTCACCTAGTCCAGTCCAGGTCAGCCCAGTCTCGCCTAGTCTAGTCTCAGAACCTAAATCCGATTTAGTTGTTGTCCGGCTTGGGGTTGATCCAAGACCAACATGCTCGGCATGGAGTAGAGCATTGCCTAAGGGGTCCAAGATGGCCCGATGCCTGACAATTAACTCAGCCCTTTTTTGGCAGGAGACAATGAGATTTGTGTTTGCGGACTGCTATCGGTAACGATGCTAAACGCCGGTGACTGCTGCTGTTGTTGCTGCTGTTGCTGCAACGCCTGTCTTATCTGATACGGTACATCATCATAATCACTAGGCATCACCGCTACTTCCGATCACCATCTGCAAATCAAGCTCCGAAGGACCCTGAAAGGTCCGGGACTAGGGTACCGGGTGCCCTGAACACCACCACCACAAACCCAAACCCAGCTTCCAAGCTGAGGCCCTTGCCAGAACTCGGTACACTTCTCGATTTGTGCACCATTGCTTGAGCCACGTCGATGGTGGCACTGGATAGTGCGAATGAGTCTGTTCAGACTCCGCGAAGCAATGCTTACATATGCATGCATGACAAGTCACTACCAAACACACTCCTCCTCACATTTCGCTGTACAGGGAAAAGTGCTCAAAAGTGTGTAGTGACGATTGCATAAGCAAGCGGAGTACTAACCAGTGGGCGTTCCAGACGCAACTTGCCTACCTTCACTGCGTCATGGTGTACGGTGAAATGCTGCCCTCAAAAGTTCCAGCATTTACCACAAAAACACTAGGAGCGAAGAAGAAAACTCGTTCGGTGAGCACTGCAACTCATGAGAGACACAATGACCCACCTGTCGTTCAGGCAGACTTCTGTAACGAGAGCTTCGTCTAGTCCAGAGTCTCGCACTTCGCTCGCAATGCATGCGAGTCAACGACAGACAACTTTGGCCTCGCTTGCTCCAGAGCCTTGCGCCCCAGAATCTTTGTCAATGGATCCGCTGGAATCGCCGTACCGCTCATGTACTTGATAGCGATTCCCTCTGAGACCGCCTGGTCACGAACCCAGCTGCAGCGCAAGCCAAAGTGCCTAGTTCTCGTAGCTTGGTGATCTTGGTGTCCTTTCAAGAGGTTGGTGAGGCACGCGGCATTGTCTCCATACAGAGTCGCAGCCGGCCTGCGCATCGTGAGCCGTTCAAGTGTTTCTCGTACCTTGATGCCCATTTCCAGCGCTGTTGCCCCAGCATCCACTTCTGCTTCAAATGCGCTCCATGCCGTGATGGATTGTCGACACGAGCGCCATGTGATGACATGCTGTCCCCATGTGACAAGTGCACCGGTGCGGCTGCGACTTGCGCCTACGCCTAGCGATGCATCACCATAGAAATGCACCGGATCACTCATTCCAGTTGCATTCTGGTACCACAGACCACATGTCTTTGTGTACAACAGATAGCGCCACACCCCTACAGCCAACTTGACTGCCTTCGTTGGACTGAGCGTTGCGATGCACGCTATTCCGCCCGTCACTGCTGCGACGTCCGGTCTGCTCTTGAGTGCTAGCCACATCAAGCTTCCAATGTGTGATTGCGCGGTTTTCAAATCTTCTGCAAAGCTAGCTTCACGTGGATCCGGCAGGATAGTGCCCTCTGGCAACTCCGGCAAGGATGCGCTGCCCTTCAAGTGCAAAAGCCCTCTCTTCACAAGCTCAGCTTCCAACCAATGTGTCTGATGGATGAACACACCGGCTACGTCTCGCTTAAGCTTGCACCCAAGGAAGGTCAGCTCACTTCGTACTGGGATCTCAAGACCACTGAAGGTGAACACATCATGCTCCGCGAAATCCCTGGAGCATAGCATGCCTTGAATCTTCAATGTCCAAGACTCCATGAACGCCTTTGCCAGTGCAGCAACTAGGGTTGGGGGTCCCACCAAAAGCCCATCGTCTACGTAGAAAACAACCAAGGCCAGTGGGTTTTGATCAACATCCGACTCGTCGATCACCTTCCACACTCCAGGCTCTAGGCGAACCAACTTCAGACACTGACCATCGGGACCAACTACCCTCTTTGCCTCAACCTCTGCATCTCTGTCATGCTCCCACAGCTTCGGGCTACGGCGTAAACCGTAGAGGGCCCGCTTTAGCTTCCAGAGCACTGATCCGCTAATGATGTTGCGCTTTACCAATGCTGGCGGTGGGGACACGTACACGTCCTCGCCCTGGATCTTTGCATTGAGGAACGCGGCGCTGATGTCCAACACAAGTCCTGTCCAGTCCTGGTGTCGTGCCAACAAGCTTGCTGCGATCCGTATTGCTTCCGCTCCTGGGTTCAAGGATTGGTTCTCTGGAGCATGTGGTGTTGTCCCTTTCTCCCAATTTCCACATGCCACTAACCTTGCCTTGGCCTGCCAACTTCTCAACGATGCGTGCTCAGCTGAGGCGATGCCCTCAACTTCATCGGCAATGTTGTTCACTGGCTTGCGCTTCAACACTAGCTTTGTGGGTATCGGCTTCACACCTGCGGGAACCTTGCTCTTCTCTACCTCATCGTAGACATCCTTGCTAGCAAGATTTTCAAGTTCCGTGCCCACGCCCTCGGTTAGCCATTTTTCCAGCTCTGCTTCCGATATGGTGTTTCCAGTCAGGATGCTCTGCGGCACGGTTTCGCCGATCTCCACGGTGCCCTGAGCCTGCATTGCTAAGGTCCGCTCATGCTCATTCATCTCCTCCTCGAGACGATATGCCAAGATGTAGTACTTGTCCTTAGCCTCCTTGTTGCGACGCTGGTTGACATCCAATTCCTCCACATGCGCAGCGACTGCACTCGGTACTGCGTCATACGAAGAGTGAACTAGGAAGCCATGTCCAAAAAGGGTAAACAGTTTCTCTGCTCCTTCAGCTCCCTCTGGGTTCGCAAGCTTATACTTCATCATGGCAACAACATCGTCGGCTTCGGGCTTGATGAAGTCGCCTGCGGCCTCCTCGACCGTCAGCATGTCGATTGGCGGGGCGTCCCACTTCAGATCCCCCTCAGTGGAAACCCATACCATCTGTCCCTCAGCAGGTCCCTTGACCACCCTCCAGCGCTTCATAACTTGATCACTCAGCACTGGAAGACGAACAATTCGAACCGAAGTCTTATCCCCGCGCTTTACCATGACCCGGGCCCCACCTGGAGCCCGCTCCTCATTCGCAAGGAAAATGGCCTCCTCGGCCTTAGGCTCGAAAGCCTCTGCTACCGTCGCAGGTCGCCTGACAAGCACAGTGTCGCCCATCTTCGGGCGATCAGCTGGCAATGGCAGCTGCAAAGATTTCTGGCGTCGTAGGAAGCATGCCTCGAGAACTGCTTCGCTCCAGAGTTTCAAGGGCAGCCTACCGTGCAGCAGCAGCGAAGCCGCTGCAGACTTGATCAGTCCTACCAGCCTCTCTGCTTTTCCGTTTTGTTGGGGAGAGTATGGAACACTTGTGGTTGGCCAAAGACTCAATCGCTGGACTTCTGTAATAAACGCCTTGCCGACAAACTCTTTGCCGGCATCCGAATGTATCCGGAACACTTCCGGGACACCCTGACTGAGCGACACGATCTGGCACATGATTGAACTCAAAGCTTGAGCTACTTCCTCGGTTTTCTTTGTTTGCAACAAACGCACGAACGGTATGTCTGGGAATTCCCCGCCTGTGCACAAGTTCGCAACAAGAAAGTAGCGATGGCCTGAGAATGCAGTTGGATGAGGACCTGACAGGTCCATGGACAAAGTGCCCTTGGAAACATCACTCGGGTCCAGCCGCCGACACTTGCGCTTGTGACCGTGGGCCTCCAAACACTTGGGGCATCTGCGCTCGTAAAGGCCTTTACTGCATTGCTGCGACAGCCGATTGAGTGCTTGAGATCGTGCCCTTTCCTGAAAAGACGATACAGGACCAGACTCGTCAGCAACGATTGTGCACGCGACAGGCCATGGCTCATCACACGAAGGCTCTGGCGCGGGCTCAACCTGAAACCTACACACAGCCCCACAAACCTCGCAAAGACCCTCCGGCTCAAACTCACACATCGCATGATCATCACCATCATCGTCATCTCGACTGAATGCTTTCGGATTTGTGCTGGCTGTAACTGCCGAGGCTGCTACTGACTGCACATGTGTCGGGATCTTGAATCCCAACTCGCTGAGATTGGCGATGATGTTGCGATTCGCCTTGCTGAACCGACTGGGCGTAAATGCTGAAATCGTGCTGCGGATGCCTTGGTGGGCTTCTGCTCCATGCCATGCCTTGCCATTGAACGTGACTGCGGCTCCTGAAACCGAAAGCAAGCGACCAACCAGGACCTTCTGTTCTGTTACTCTTCGCTTTACATTGCCATCGACATCCTCGATCCACAGTTCACCGTGCTTGAACTCCGTAAGGCCGACAAGACCCACTTCAGTCTCAGGATGATTGAAACTATCACGATGAGGTTTGAGCGTGGCATCGATTGCCAGAACCAGGCTCGTGAAAGTGTGGTGAGGGAGCTCCCGCCTCACCAGCTCGCAGAGTACTCGAGTGAGATACGGTCGTTCCCTCGTTAGCGCAGTGAGTCCATCGACTCCACCGTGCGCGAAGTATCCGAACACCCACATCCGAGGCCTCGTCTCTCCATCAGTCTGCAGTGATGCCCGCGTCCGCTGACCCTTGAGACCAGCATCCTGAACCAGGTTCCAAACATTTTCACGGGTGATTTGTTCACTGGATAACATCTCCTTTGCCCTGGCTTCAGAACGCTCAACGTCATCAAGCTCTGATCGCGACTTATTGATGGTCACGTCCTCCTCTGCCCAGGTCTGCTCTGCTAGTTCTTCTGGGGTGCATGTGTCACACATCCGCAACTGTTGTAATGTAGTATCTGCTGGATCTTCCTTGGCGCTTGCTGCTGTGGATTCCTTCCTCTTGTATCTACGAGATAGAAGGATGCGAATAGGCTTGAAATCTGTCCAAGTGATGTAAGGAAGCCCATTTATGACCTGACACACCACCTTCATGTACTGCTTCCGATCCTCATCCCAATACCGCAACAAAGCACCCGATTCATCCCAACAGAACATGCCCCCAGCTTGAACTAGACGCCGTACGCTGAGAAGCCATTCTTGGCTGTCATCGGAAGATCTAATGCACAACTCTCCGTCACGAGATCTTAAGGCCTCCACCCGGTCGCCACTGGCTGTGGTGACTGATGTCTGCTTGCATCCTGTAGTGCTCATGGTCGGAAGCCACGGGCGAATGGTTTCATTTGCTCCTGAATCCACAAGTACCCAGGGCTCTGAGCCTTGAGCTCGTGATGCCTGGGCATGCCCCTCATCTCTGCATTCCAACTTGGCCCCAAAAGGTTCAGCATCCGGCTCCCCTTCTGAGAGCGGGTGCTCGACATCTTGGTTTCTGCGATGAGCCCATGCCCAAATATCCGGCAATTCCTCTAGTAAAATGTAACCTCGATTGATGGCTTGGGAGGCTTCTAAGATCTTGCGTCGAGGAACTGCGGGGATATCTGTTAAATCATCTTCTCGAATAAGATCCAAGTCTTCTATGGTTTCAACTCCAAGTGCACTCAAGATCCTCGCATACCGTGTGGCATCAATCATGTCCAGCATGACGTGAAGAGGGTCCGGCTCTGTACCAATCGCTGGCTCCTCCTCAGAGTTATCCCCGAGCTCCTCGAGGTTGGATTCTTCGGGCGATGTCTCCTCCTCAGTGGTTACCTCTCTAACCACAGCATGGTCATCAGCAAATTGAAAGGCAATACCTACCGGGATTGGGTCAGGCTCACAATGTTGCGCGCGTACGACACACCACCATGATGCTGTCGATGACTCTATCAGCAGACGGCCGCATCTGAGTCACAGGATGCTGCTCTGACATAGTTTGCAACATGTAGTCGCTGTCCCGTGGAGGTCACACTGATGAGCTCCTGATGCGCAATACCGTCCCGAAAACACTCCCATGCTTGCCACTCCAAAGCTTGCGACTCGTTGTCAGGATGCAAACGCTCCCAACAAGCTGCACTAGGAACCGATCCAGTCTGACCATACTGCTCCATCTCATCTCGTCCTAGCCTGATCATCCATAAGACATCACATGGAGAGGATAATGACCCATCAGAACTGCCCTGAGATCCTAGTCGCATCATGCACGCTCGCGCATGTGTCTCTGATCCCTGCGACGATGCCCCTGCAAGACATGGTATGTCAGGAGTGCAAACAGCTGCAGATTTCGCTGCCGACGAAGCTGGAGCTGCTTTGGCCTTAGCGTCTGCTGCTGCTTTGGCTTCGGCTTTGGTTTTGGCTTTGGCTTCCTTGGCCGCAGCCTTTGCTTTCGCTTTGGCTTCTGCTTTAGCCTTTGCTGCTGCATCGGTTGACTGATCGTGATCCTTGCCCTTCTTTCCTTTGCCTTTGCCCTTTGAGCCCTTAGGCCCTGCCGCCCCGGACGGGCCGTCATGTGAAAATGGACAATCTCGCCCACGTGAGCACCCTTCTGGAGTTGAATGAAACCAACAAGGTCTCTTCTCGCTTCCCTTTCCACTAGCCTTCGCAATCACATACTCATCATCATGCTGCTGCTTGTTCCCATGTCCCGCTGCAGTGCGCACGTCCTCATCTGCTGATAGCCGACGCGCTTCTTGTTCCACACACAGAATGAACCTATCCAGTCCAGATTTTGTGGTAACAATCACATCCTGCTGTAAACGCAACAAGTTCAGCTTCATGGAGAACTGAGGGTTACCCTTCTCAACAGTCTTCACAAGAGATTCGATTGCAGACAGTGCCTCGTTTGGTGCTTGCGGTGGTAGCTCCAATGACGCTGCACGCGCCGTCGCCAACTGCCACCTCCTAAGAGTCGTGAGAATTCCTCGTCCATTTGCCGCCGACGGAAGAGAACGCAGAAACTTCTGCAACGATGTGATCTCTTCCCTTCCTCCTGGAGCCACGGTCTCATGAAGGGACTCTAGGAGCAGTACCGACCTCACTACAGGACCATCCTGTCGCTCAAGGACTGGTTGTCTCACCTTGACAGGCAACACCTTCAATAAGGTCAGCGACAAACGAACCTCGCAATCACCCATTCCCTTTGGAACATCCGGTATCGGGGACTCACATGCTGTCACCTGTCTCTGTTTGTATCTCTCGGCTGCCTGTGCGAACACCTGCTCGAAATAGGTTCCGAAGTCTCGATGGATGGCACTCAACACTGTCGTTGTCTCAGCCTTCCACTGGTTGACCTTCATCCCGATTTCCCAACATTCGCCCTTCTGAATGTCCAGCTTTGGACAATCCTTCAGCAGTTTGAAAGCGGCATGTGGAACTTTATCAGATGTTGCTTGCGTGCTTTTGGGTGACCCCTGGATCTGTCTTAAGTTCGAGGGTATTGGTGGGGGCGGCTGCGACGGTGCGAAACTCAAACCTGGAGGTTGTGTCCACGACGATAGCGGTTTATCGTCATGGGCGTCCCACCACTCATCAGCAGCATCTGCTGCGTTGACCTCGTGTTGGACACCTGGAGTGCCAATGATGTGATGAACAGGTCCTGCATTCTCAATCAAAGGACTTTGAGCCTGCTCGGTCTTTCGAGATGCCGTGAACTGTTGAGCCGCCTTGTCATCGCCAAGGTGCTTCATCAGCACGGCCATGTTTGTCTCCAGCTCTCCACAGCGCCTTTGAAGCTTGGTGGTAATCTCCAGCCTATCAAGAGCTCTGTTCAGCCGGGCATCGCGATCAACAGTAGCATGCACATGAGATTCAAGATGCTCCATCGTTTTGTCAAGATCCCGTCGTACATCCTGCATCTGCTGAATAATTTGAGCACCATCACTCTTAGTCAAAACGTCTGCCTGACATAAGGCATCTAGGCGCTCTCTCTGCTCCGTCGTAAGGGGCGCATGACTGGCTTCATCGAGCAGTGCATGTACTCCTGCGACTTCTTCACTCATTGCTTTTGCGCGCTCTGCGTGAGCTTGTTCGGATGCGTCCACCCGTGCCCACTGTGATTGCAAGTCATGAACAGCTTGAGCTAACGTGTTCACCTTCGTGCTCATGTCAGCTTCAAACGTGGCTTGCGCTCTGCTTTCATGCTTAATTGCCGCTTCCAACTGACCCACACGAGTCATGAGCTCCTTGAACTGGCCATCGGCCCGCTTCCACAGAGTCTCGCTGTCTTGCATGGACTGGCCTACTGCTCCCAAATGCTGTCGAGTGGCATCTGTCTCCCCCATGATGGAAGAAACCCATGCTGCCAAGCGTTCTGTCCGAAACTGCATGTCACCGTTCAGATCATCGAGCCTCCTCTGCACATCCTCTAAAGAAGATAAGGCAGAAAGGGTATTCGTTCTGTCTGATCTCAACATATGCAGAAACTCTTCTGGCGCTTGCACTTGCAACATCTGCTGTAGCTGTAGCCCTGATGGAAGAGACATTGCCGTTGCGAACCGCAGATGAAAGCCTTGCTCAATGGCTGATTCTGCATGCGCTTCAGCGTTTGGGCGTGTCATAACCTGTGTTTGCGGACTGCTATCGGTAACGATGCTAAACGCCGGTGACTGCTGCTGTTGTTGCTGCTGTTGCTGCAACGCCTGTCTTATCTGATACGGTACATCATCATAATCACTAGGCATCACCGCTACTTCCGATCACCATCTGCAAATCAAGCTCCGAAGGACCCTGAAAGGTCCGGGACTAGGGTACCGGGTGCCCTGAACACCACCACCACAAACCCAAACCCAGCTTCCAAGCTGAGGCCCTTGCCAGAACTCGGTACACTTCTCGATTTGTGCACCATTGCTTGAGCCACGTCGATGGTGGCACTGGATAGTGCGAATGAGTCTGTTCAGACTCCGCGAAGCAATGCTTACATATGCATGCATGACAAGTCACTACCAAACACAAGATTGCTTGCACAAAGCCGCCCCATTCCCGACCCGTGTTGTGGCCTTTAGCTTCGCTGCGGTCAAGGTGTCGCCAGCTCGCCGGAGCCCTCGCTACTCTTGCGCTTCTTCTGCCCGTGGCTGAGTCGGTGCCGCTTGGAGCAATTGCATAACTCCTGATGGGCGAGATCACTTCTCAATGTCACCTGTGGACGCAGTCCTTAATTCACCGACCTTTGAGATTACCACGGCCGGTGGTCGAATTTGATCAGCGAGGATCGAACGGCCAGAAGAAAAGTTCTCCCGGAGTTTTACTAATCGTGTCTAAGCCTCTAGCCCACGGTGCAGCTAGAGGTCGCTAACCCGGACTGTCTACGAAGCTTGTGCCGTTGTCCTGCATGCAAGCGGTCATGTGCCAGAGCACGGAGAACCGAAATTCGCTGATCCAAATCTGGATCGTGCACAACCACAATGTCGCGTTCTGTGCCACTGTGGTAGAAAACCGGATAGAGATCGCATCGTTCTTTGCCATTGCCTTCTTTGGCTGATGTCTGCAAAGACCCTTAAAATCCTCAACAGCTAGGCTGAATGCCCAGGGACGACGGGCCGCATCCCCTCAGACCGCGTTGGGCCAGGCATCCTTCATCCCAATCTCAGCGTTGGTGCCAACGTTCTCATTCGATGCGACGGTGAGCCGCAACGGAGCTCCACATATCTACTTGTAAGGCTCTGCAAGTGCTGCAGGCGCATGTGTGAAGGGTGTAGGCCAGGGCCACAGGCAGGTGGGAATGGATTTTGCTAAGGTGTTGTATTGGCTGAGCATCGGCGACCATGTATTGAAAACAGAAGGGATTTTCTGCAGATGAAAAGGGAAACGTGCAGGAAGCTACGGTGGCCCAACCCTTGGGGCAGTGCCTGCAAGTATGCGGTCCGCTCATCAAGTGCACGATTGGTGGCTCCAGGTACCCTTCTTCAACATTCTGGTTCCTACTGTGGAGACCACGCTGCAGCGCATTCTGGTCCTTTGACTGTCAAGTGCTGCCGCTTCTCGATTTGGGTATGCGTGATGTTCGGAAACTGGCTTTTCTGCTCTGGCGCAACTGGTCCATGTCCCGAGAGGCAAGTGCAACGGTTGTTTGGTTTTAGTCCAGGCGACTGCATTGAATTTGGTGTTGCGTGTGGTGAGATCCTGCTGCGAGGTTGAGAACCTCATGGGCTCTGGATACCATGTACTTTTCTCAGGCTGCCGTCAGAATCCGTCAGTTCCAAGTTTTTGCCAGCTTCAGGGTCGGAATGAGGCTGGAAGAGATCTGGGGAACGGCAGATCTGCACCAACAATGCCGAACTGCTGTGCTTTTCTGCGACCGGTGTTTTCTACATGTGTTCAACCCCTGTGTGTCATCGCAGCAGGTGAGACCGGGGTCGGGAAGTCTGTGGGCATCCAGCAGTTTCTCGGGAGTGCTGGAGAGAGTTTTGCAGCACGGAGCCCAGAAATCGCACCGCACAAAAGTTGGGAGTTTGCGCTGAAGTTTCTGCAATGTCATTCCTGCGTTGCTTCGTGCCCAAGCGTCCGTCTGCGGCACGCAGGTAGCATCTGCAAACTTCTCTGCTCAGACGTCTTCGGCAAACGTCGTGGTCGCTTGGCATGAGCTGCTACAACCAGCACCAGAGTCCCGATGTTCCCCAAGCACGCTATACAGTTGAGTTTCCACCGTGGGCAGCGAGCAGGAAGGAGCCGAATAGTTTGTTCGACGCCTCAAGCATTGCGTGCCTCCCTTCTCTCGTGGTCTCTGATGTCAGTCTAGTTTGGAGCAAGTATTGTGTATCGAGTTGACCCTGCTTCGGAACAGAAAGCCTCTGCACTGAGGACTTCCTGGAAAATACTTTGGAGCCAGAGCCTTCCGGGACCGCTGTACTCCTCCCTCCGGGGCTCCGCTTGGGCAATACTTCAGCATGTCTTGCGAAGGGGAGAAGATCGGGGATTCCACGGCGGCTATTCCTGTTTCTTGCAGCCGTCGACGCCACTGTGCAGAGGACCACGCTTAGACCTAGCTTTTCCTAAACCATTGGCCCAGGCGGAAGCGAAAGACACTCTTGGGTGCTCCGGCGGGCAAGGTCCCCGTACTCTGAAGCCGGTTGAGGGAGGACTGCATATGCGGGTCTTTCGAAGCATGCGGGATGTCAGCATCCGATGTGTGTTTGCCTATTTAATCGCTCCTCCTGGCAGCGCATTCCCGCAATGGATTCGCTTAAAGCGTTTTGTTGTCAGTCTTGCTCAGACTGCGTGTTTGTTGCCAGACAATGTTGCTCTTCATTGACGACATCAACATGCCCATGCTGCTTGGCTGTGTTGCCAATCCATGCATCATGTCAGGTCGTGTTCGTATCTTCGATGATGTCGCAAGTTCGAGGATCCATGCACCCTTGCACTTTGAAACCATGCCTTCGAGGTGCGAGGTCTTTGGCATGTTAAAAGATGCAGATGTCAGGCTGGAGAAGTACGGGGCGCAGCCGCCAATTGAACTCCTCCGGCAGGTGCAAGCCCGGAGTCGAGTCAGTCGAGTCCTGGAGTCTCAGAGTTCTCTTGGCGCCACATGCGGACAGGTTCCCTGTTTGCCAGAGAGGTAGCAAGTCTGCAGGTCATTGACTACAAAGGATTCTACGATCGCAAGAAGCTCTTCTGGAAGGCCGGGTGGGCTTCGTAGCCAAGGACGATGGGAATGCAGTGGCATGAACTGTCCAGCTGCGTAGGCAAAACAGCTCGCACATGTGTAGCCGGATCACCGTACAGCGTCCTTACAGATTGTCTTAACGCATGCCTGAGGAAATGGAAATGGTTCGGTGTTGAAGTGGCTAATTATGCACGAAGTCTGGCCACGGGATGCTACGGGAGCAAAATCATTGTAATTTTACATGATATTTGGCATGTTGGATCCCGTTTTGGAAGTTGGATGGATCCACGTGCGTGGGCTTTGTTGGAGCGTGTGCATGAAGCAATTCGGCACGGCTCAAGGAATCGTTGACGTTTTGTATTGAAGCAAGATAGGTGGCAGTGCGTACGAGCTTGCTCAAGTGAGTCTGAAGCTTTAGTCGGCATCATTGCAAGCGCCTGTACAGTTGGTTTTGATCATGTCAGAGACTTGCTTCGTATCTGGAAACTGTTTCGGACAAGGATGATACGGCGATATAGGCTGAAATCACTGAGCGCACATGTTATAAGGGCACTTGCAGGCATCATTTAATTTACAAACGCCTACAAGTCGGAGTTGTGGTGGCTATCAGGCTATGACATGTGTTACGAGGAGGATCTGGAGTTGGGAGTGAAAGAAGGACTGCAGAACTCGACATAATTGGGTGCCCGGCAGTGTTTCGTGTTTGTTTGGGGGCATCTGCGGGCCGGCGGTTGCAAGCGGAAAACCAAATAGTGAGAAACATGAGTGAGCCAGTGTGGAATGTGACGTTGGACTGTGGACTTGGATGGCGCAAACCTGGACAGCTAGATCTATGGCAGTTTTCCTGGCGTAGTAGACCTGTGTACATATATATATATATATATATATATCTATATATACATGTACTCAAAGCGATCTCGTATGTCAGGGTGTGAGAGAGGGAAGTAGCAGAAAGAGATCAAGGAGCCTTCGGAGAAGTGCGAACTGGTGGGAAGAGTCTGAGGGTAAATCCCTCGCTCAGGGCGTCCAAGAAACTCAGCTCATCGCCGCCTGTGGTCCTCCTGGGGGTGGCCGCATGGAGGCCACGATTTTTTTCCGGGAGAAACAAGGAAGCTCCCCTTAAGTGCGACAACTTCCAAGTCTGGTATCAGCCTATCCGACTGCGTACATGCTTCAATGGCGAAGCTGCCAATCCATCCTGGGTCATTTCGCCAAACCTAATAACCTAGTCTGCTCCATGAAGTGACATTGGTGTCAGCACAGCACTACCTCGCAAACCCTTTCCTGGTTTTGCGGCCATTAGCGTCGTAAGCCAATCCGCGCCGACGAAGTAAGCTCTGAAATCGCTAACGGCTGCCAGGTGACGCCGCGGCTGCTGCGGCATTTCAACATGCTTCGGCCCCCAGTTCTAGGCACATCTTTCACCTGTAGTGCATATGTTGCACTCATGATGCCTATGTACGGCTTCTTGATTTGTGAAAGTTTTAACTGTCAGGGCTTGGATGTTGGATGCGGCAGACTCGGCTGCTCAGGATCTGGATGACAGCACTGCCACAGGACTCGCTTGCGCAGAGATCCATGCCTGCACCTGGCGCACCCCTGTGCACTCCTCATCCGAGACCCACCGCGACTGCGACCGGGAGCACGAAAGGCGACCACAACGACGAAGCCACCATTGCCGCACGAACACTTATGGCGAAGATCATGCGCGAGTACCGCGATCGTATACAACATCCACCGGCAAGACCACAAAAACACAGCGAACAGGACAATGACTAAATACGATGTCGGGCGAACAGATGCAGCAGTGGATGTAGCAGCAGCAACACTGTTTGAGCCTGTTCTAGTTTTCGTTGGTGAGGCCTCCCAAGTAGTCGAAGCTGCCAGAAAGAACTCTTGCAGAGACGCATGCAGGCAACTGCAGGCATCAGGGATAGCAGGGTTCCTGTTCAGCCTCGCAGGAAACCATGCGCCCGAGTCTTAGCCTTCGCAGCGGTTTCATGCCCGCTCCAAGGGTGGATGAACCATCTAAAAAAAGAAGGTCCACTTGAGCGAAGATGCCAAGAGGAAGGGCTAGTCATGGCTAGTCTTCGAAAATCCATTTTGAATCCCTTCGCTCCGAAATCAAGCACCTCGCGCCAGACCGCATTCTGAGCTCCATCCTTGGTGGTTGGCTTGGGGTCATGACCTCAGTTGACAGGGTGTATCGGCCATTAAAGCCCTACAGGTTCTGAGTGTGAGTTGCAGAAGAAGCAGGGTCTTGGCTGCCTTTGTGCTGAAGGGTGCCGGGAAACTTCGATCTAAGTTGCGTTCTTCGTTCCGCGGCCTGTTATGCCTTGAAGTTTGCCTCAGAACTGCGGTTTGTGGCGACGTGGCAGTGAGCCTGCTCGTTCGTGTTCTCTCGTCTCTCTTTTTCCTTCTGTTGCCCTCCTGCTCCTCAGCAGTGAGAATCTGTGTCAGTACGCAACTTTGCAGTAGATAACCTTAAGCTGGCCTTTTGATGTCAATATTTTTGCTGAGGTGAAGAAGCCAGCCTTGCAGGTGCGGTGCAGTGTCGCTGGAAGTTTCATGTTCATGTCAATGTGTTTGGGCTGTGCTTTGATGTGAAGTACGGTCCGGGCAGTCCACCAGTCAAGGACCATGCAAGACACAGCAAAGCATGCAGCAGACCGCAGGAGCTCGCCAGTGATATTGTCGCTGCTAGCGTCGTGGCCTTACACTACTGCGCATCGAATGATACGACAGTGTTGCAGGTGCTTTTGTGCAGATGCCGCTCCAAGGTTGAGATGTTCTTCAGAATTATTTCCGACCTGCTGCCAACTCCGCTAAAGTGTCGGGTTCCCAGTCTCTCAGGTCCGACGGAACGTGTGTCGTGGGGGTCACTCGCTGCCTTGAGGCCACTACACCTTCAACCTGTGCTCCGGCCGCAAGTACAAGAGACCTGACCTCATCTTGATATGGATACGGCCGGAAGCAGAAGCTACCTTCACCTTGCTTTTGGTACGGAAGAGCACAGATACATATATATATATATATATATATATATATATATATATGTATTGTATATATGTACATATGCACACCAATTCAATATGTATATATATATATATACATATATATATATATATATATACATACATATGTGTATGTATATATGTATATATGTATATATGTATGATACATACACACGAACTTATGTATGCGTGTATGTATGTATGTATGTATGCATGTATGTATGTATGTCTGTCTGTATGTCTGTATGTCTGTATGTCTGTATGTCTGTATGTCTGTATGTATGTATGTATGTATGTATGCATGGCCCTCTATGTATGTATGTGTTTGAAGCACATGCAGGAAGCCTTGCACAACACGGTGCTGTGTGCTGTCCTTGATTTCGTTGCGCAAAGAGTTCCTGTCTTCGAGTGACTCTAGTGACTAGTCTTTCAACGGAGTAGCGAAGGCAGACCTTCCCAAACAAGTGTTGTGCCAATCAAAGATTGAAGCTGAGGACGACAAGAACACCTTCTTAATCATTCTCAACTCGGGCACTCAAAATGCGCCGAAAGCTCCCGGGACCCCCCCCCCCCAATAAGCCGAGCATCTCGTCATGTCTTTTCAGGCGGCTGCCGGTCTAGGCTTCAAGATGGTTTGGGTTCTTGCAGTCGTGGCTCGGATGCTCAAGAGCAAGAGCAGAAGACTCGACGAACTTAAGTTGCAAAGTTCCCCAGCCGTCGGCGCCAGTCCTCTAGGCCCCTAGGCTGAGTCTCGCTACGTCTCTCGACGAACAGCTGCAGGCGTGATCCGGCCAAGATGCTGCAGGCGGGGAGGGATACCAGAAGAAGTGAGGTAACCAAAACGTTGAATGGTGAATGATGGCTGCAAGGGCCAAGCTCCTGACGGGCACAGACAGACTTGTAGGCAGCTGAAACACTGCACTCAGAGGCGCGGTTGGCCAATCCCTAAGCTTTGCCTTCCTCCCTTTATTTCGCTGTCCGGTCACTGAGACATACGTAGATTGTTGGGTGCTTCGCGTGATTTCCTGGCTGTTCTTACCGCATGCTAGCTCGTGTCGAGCCGCCTAGCTGCTCTGTCAGGGGATGCTTATGGTCAATGTCAGAACAGAGCTCTCGGACGATGACAGCTTGATCAGGCGTGTCAAAGCGGGACATAAGCGCACGTCCGTCATTTTTCTACCCGCAGCCTGCGAGGCTTTGGGTGCACGAGACTTGCCGCCAATTCCGAGATCGTCTCGTCAACAAGGAGGACTGGGGACTAGCATTGCTCCAACTGCCCACCTCCCGACACCATGCCAGCAGCCGCATCGTCTTTTTTTGACGACGACCGCGATTACTACGAGTTGCATCAGGGAATCCCTGCAATGTTGCTGTGAATATCATCCCCAAGACCGGATGTTTCATGATCGAACAACAGCCTGCTGTCTACTGCGAATTTCCATCTGTCCAGAGATGCTAAGTGTCAGGACCGGACGTGGTTTAACGACTGTCTTCATGCCTCGTGGCTGCACGTACTCGTAGTGTCCATTGCACTAAGGCTGGCTGCACTGCACGTTGAGCGGATCTCTTTGACACCGCTAAGGACAACCTGGAGAAGCACCTCCAGAGAACCTGGCCGATCGAAAGGCACCAGATCCAGGGCCGAATTGTCGTCATCGATTTCATAGGTGGTGCGCCTTCCGTTTTACTAAAGTTTCTGCGCTCCCAGTGCAAACTGTGGCCCGGGCTGGAGTGTGGGCTCAAAGCTATGCCCAGTCGTTTCGGACCAGTCTTGGAAACACCAATCAGGGCCCATGAGCAAGGGATTCTGAGCTTGTCGAAGCTGGAACGCCATGGCGAATGGCGACTCTCTCTGACGAAGAGGCCGCTGCAGTCCGCCGCAGCGGCACTTCGGCTGCGTTGAATCGCCACTCCCGCTGCCTCCGTTTTAAGGCCTCCTAAACCCAGGCTGGCCCGTGGAGCTCCTGTGCCCGGCGGCGGCACCAAAGGCCCTTCCGGAACTGAGCCGAGCAAAGCCACATAGCCGAGCCGAGCCGTAGTCCTTTTGCCCTCTGCCCGACGGAGGCCGTTCTGGATGTCACGGCCTTTCGACGCGAAGTGCTCTCAGGCGAAGCTTGCGAACCACTTTGGAGGTCTCGCGTCATGTGTCTCGGTTCGTCGATGTTGCGACCTATGTTTCCGCTCAGATGCAAGCATCTCCAGGCAACCATCTTGAGCAAGCGGTCCTCTTTCCCGGCGGCCTTCAGCGGCTGCCTGACCAGCAAAGTTTTGATGTCATTTTTTCGCTTGTCTTTTTTTCCGTTGTCGTTGTTGCGGCTGTTGTTGTTGGTGGTGGTGGTGGTGCCGCTGCCGTCGTTGTCGTTGTCGTTGCTGTTGCTGTTGCTGTTGCCGTTGCCGTTGCGGTGCTGCTGCTGCTGCTGCTGCTGCTGCTGCTGCTGCTGCTGTTGCTGTTGCTGTTGCTGTTGTTGCTGTTGCTGTTGCTGTTGCTGTTGCTGTTGCTGTTGCTGTTGCTGTTGCTGTTGTTGCTGTTGTTGTTGCTGGGTGGTGGTGGTGGTGGTGGTGGTGGTGGTGGTGGTGGTGGTGGTGGTGGTGGTGGTGGTGGTGGTGGTGGTGGTGGTGGTGGTGGTGGTGGTGGTGGTGGTGGTGGTGGTGGTGGTGGTGGTGGTGGTGTGGTGGTGGTGGTGGTGGTGGTGGTGGTGGGTGGTGGTGGTGGTGGTGGTGGTGGTGGGTGGGTGGTGGTGGTGGTGGTGGTGGTGGTGGTGGTGGTGTGGTGGTGGTGGTGGGTGGTGGTGGTGGTGGTGGTGGTGGTGTGGTGGTGGGTGGTGGTGGTGGTGGTGGTGGTGGTCGTGGTGGTGGTGGGGGTCGTGGGCGTGGTGGGGTCGTGGTCGTGTCGTGGTCGTGGGTAGTGGTAGTGGTAGTGGTAGTGGTAGTGGTAGTGGTCGTGGTCGTGGTCGTGGTCGTGGTCGTGGTCGTGGTCGTGGTCGTGGTCGTGGTCGTGGTCGTGGTCGTGGTCGTGGTCGTGGTCGTGGTCGTGGTCGTGGTCGTTGGTGGTTGGTGGTTGGTGGTTGGTGGTTGGTGGTTGGTGGTTGGTGGTGGTCGTGGTGGTGGTGGTGGTTTCGTTTCGTTTTACACGCCGCTAAGGAGGTCCTAGCTGTGCGACAGGATGAATAGGTCAGGCTTAAGCCCGGTCGCATAGCGACGCATCAGAGGTTGATGCACCATCCTGAGAAGCAGATCTCAGCGCCCCGCCCCGAGGGGCCCGTTAAGCGCTGAGGGGAGACAGCGTTCCAGAGTACAAGATGCGAAAGTGAACTGTCGATTGTACTTATCAGCAGAGACGAAAGCATCATAGGATTCATACAGAAGTGGACAAGGCAGGCTCGCAGCCGGTCTACAGCTAACTTCACTCAGTGCGTCACTCACTCAGCTCAGCACGCACAGCCTGGTTCATAGTGCTGCAGTCCTGGGAGAGCTGAAAGCCACGACGGCGTAGTTGGTCCAGATGTCCTGCCGGTAGCCGGTCCACCGCTCTGGCGTGGTATGCCACTAGCAGCAATCTGTCCGCGCCACCCCACGGGTAGGTGGCGTGCAGTGTGGTTGGATTCAGCTGTATGTACGGCCTCGATACGTTCCGAAGGATGCCCGGGGGGCCGTGCTCTTCCAGTCTAACTGAGCCAGCGGCGTCCGCCTGCCACAGTTGGCCGCCCATCCAACGATTGCACGGAATCAACAGATTGCAGGTGCCGGGTGCATTCCCAGTATCACGATGTACATAGTGCATGGTGTTAACCAAAAATGCACAGCTGCTGAACCGATGATCGTCCTTGGCGCCGCGAACTACCGAGGCAAGCCATGTAGTGGTCCATGGAAAAAGTCCTGTGTTGGTTTGAACACCTCTAAGCCCGCCGCCTCCAATCGAATACGCGCCTGTAAGAAACGCTTTTTGGAGTCCGCCAACGCCACCATCAGAGGTTGAAGTTCGTCGCCGCCGCACCTGAGACTGCTCCGGAAGCAAGGTGGCCAATGTACAGAAGTCACTGATGTGACAGAAGCCTCGGCTGCAGATATTGTATGCCAGATGCTCCGCCGCGTGGGCGCCGGGAACTGGCGTTCCCGGAAGGAGAACGTCCGTAGACATTCGGAGTGGATATTCAAGCGCCGCCTCCTCCGGGCTAAGGTTCCAGAGGTTGCTCCAAGCCGTGGGAGGTTCGACTATAGCTATGGAATCATCTGTGGAATCATCTGAGTCCTGAGCATCGAGATCAGTGTCCCGGTTGTACAGTGGTAAGCCCGGAGACGGCTCTGCTGTCGGCTCTGCTGACTGTAGCTGTGGAGCCTTGGTGGTGGTGGTGGTGGTGGTGGCGGTGGTGTCGTTCTCGTTGTTGTCGTTCTTGTTGTCGTTGATCTTGTTCTTGTTCTTGTTGTTGTTGTCGTCGTCGTTGGTTTACCCGTACACTGCGTACCCGTCATATTGAACACATATTTATGGGCTGCCGCCACTGCCGCCGACCCCAAAACCAGAGAGGTGACTATCCAAGGAACGCAGCAGGTGTTGAAAGCAGCCAAGTGCAAGTCTTGTAACTGGCACGAGTCGAGTACTAGGACTAGTACTAGTAAGACGTGTAGTACGGCACGAACGAACCTCTTATCGGAATCCGAATGCCTCCGGCATATCACAGGACACCGAAAAACATTCCCCATGTAGACGCCTGATCCCGGAAACACCCGCTCGAGACATACATCAGTGATCGTCAGCACCATCGCAGCACACCAGAACCATTCCCCTGACAGAACACTGGGATGGTGGCAGTGGTGGAGGTGGTGGGGGCGGTGAGGGCAGTGTGGGCGGTGGGGGCGGTGGGGGCGGTGTGGGCGCGCGGGGGTCCGGGCACACATTGGCAGCCTTTAAATACTCTTTAAACACCTATACAAATACAGCGGTTAACTCTTTTGACAGAACACTGGGGGTGGTGGCAGTGGTGGAGGTGGTGGGGGTGGTGAGGGCGGTGAGGGCGGTGTGGGCGGTGGGGGCGGTGGGGGCGGTGTGGGCGAGAACACTGGGGGTGGTGGCAGTGGTGGAGATGGTGGGGGTGGTGAGGGCGGTGGGCGGTGGGGGCGGTGTTGGCGGTGGGGGCGCGGGGTCCGGGCACACATTGGCAGCCTTTATATACTCTTTAAACTTTAAACACCTATACAAATACAGCGGTTAACTCCCCTCACAGAACACTGGGGGTGGTGGCAGTGGTGGAGGTGGTAGGGGTGGTGAGGGCGGTGAGGGCTTTGTGGGCGGTGGGGGCGGTGGGGGCGGTGTGGGCGCGGGGAGGTCCGGGCACACATTGGCAGCCTTTAAATACTCTTTAAACACCTATACAAATACAGCGGTTAACTCTTTTGACAGAACACTGGGGGTGGTGGCAGTGGTGGGGGTGGTGGGGGTGGTGAGGGCGGTGAGGGCGGTGTGGGCAATGGGGGCGGTGGGGGTGGTGGGGGCGGTGGAGGTGTGGGCAGCCTTTAAATACTTTTAAACACCTATACAAATACAGCGGTTAACTCCCCTGACAGAACACTGGGGGTGGTGGCAGTGGTGGAGGTGGTGGGGGTGGTGTGGGCGGTGAGGGCGGTGTGGGCGGTGGGGCTGGTGTGGGCGGTGTGGGCGGTGGGGGGCGCGTCCGGGCACACATTGGCAGCCTTTAAATACTCTTTAAACACCTATACAAATACAGCGGTTAACTCTTTTGACAGAACACTGGGGGTGGTGGCAGTGGTGGAGGTGGTGGGGGTGGTGAGGGCGGTGAGGGCGGTGTGGGCGGTGGGGCTGGTGGGGGCGGTGTGGGCGGTGGGGGCGCGGGGGCGTCCGCGCACACATTGGCAGCCTTTAAATACACTTTAAACACCTATACAAATACAGCGGCTAACTCTTTTGACAGAACACCGGGGGTGGTGGCAGTGGTGGGGGTGGTGAGGGCGGTGAGGGCGGTGAGGGCGGTGGGGGCGGTGGGGGCGGTGTGGGCGCGGGGGGGTCCGGGCACACATTGGCAGCCTTCAAATACTCTTTAAACACCTATACAAATACAGCGGTTAACTCCCCTGACACAACACTGGGGGTGGTGGCAGTGGTGGAGGTGGTGGGGGTGGTGAGGGCGGTGAGAGCGGTATGGGCGGTGGGGGCGGTGGGGGGGGCGGTGGTGGCGCGGGGGGGTCCGGGCACACATTGGCAGCCTTTAAATACTCTTTAAACACCTATACAAATACAGCGGTTAACTCCCCTGACAGAACACTGGGGTGGCAGTGGTGGAGGTGGTGGGGGTGGTGAGGGCAGTGAGGGTGGCAGTGGTGGAAGTGGTGGGGGTGGTGAGGGCGGTGAGGGCGGTGTGGGCGGTGTGGGCGGTGTGGGCGGTGGGGGCGGTGGGGGCGGTGTGGGCGGTGTGGGCGCGGGGGGGTCCGGGCACACATTGGCAGCCTTTAAATACTCTTTAAACACCTATACAAATACAGCGGTTAACTCCCCTGACAGAACACTGGGATGGTGGCAGTGGTGGAGGTGGTGGGGGTGGTGAGGGCGGTGAGGGCGGTGAGGGCGGTGTAGTGGGCGGTGGGCGGTGGGGGCGGTGTGGGCGTGGGGGGGTCCGGGCACACATTGGCAGCCTTTAAATATTATAAACACCTATACAAATACAGCGGTTAACTCCCCTGACAGAACACTGGGGGTGGTGGCAGTGGTGGAGGTGGTGGGGGTGGTGAGGGCGGCGAGGGTGGCAGTGGTGGAAGTGGTGGGGGTGGTGAGGGCGGTGAGGGCGGTGTGGGCGGTGTGGGCGGTGTGGGCGGTGGGGGCGGTGGGGGTGGTGTGGGCGGTGTGGGCGGTGTGGGCGCGGGGGGGTCCGGGCACACATTGGCAGCCTTTAATTACTCTTTAAACACCTATACAAATAGAGCGGTTAACTCCCCTGACAGAACACTGGGATGGTGGCAGTGGTGGAGGTGGTGGGGGTGGTGAGGGCGGGGAGGGCGGTGAGGGCGGTGTGGGCGGTGGGGGCGGTGGGGGCGGTGGGGGCGGTGTGGGAGCGGGGGGGTCCGGGCACACATTGGCAGCCTTTCAATATTATAAACACCTATACAAATACCAGCGGTTAACTCCCCTGACAGAACACTGGGGGTGGTGGCAGTGGTGGAAGTGGTGGGGGTGGTGAGGGCGGTGTGGGCGGTGGGGGCGGTGGGGGCGGTGTGGGCGGTGTGGGCGCGGGGGGGTCCGGGCACACATTGGCAGCCTTTAACTTTTCTTTGAGGGCGGTGAGGGCGGTGAGGGCGGTGTGGGCGGTGGGCGGTGTGGGCGCGGGGGGGTCCGGCTTTAAACACCTATACAAATACAGCGGTTAACTCCCCTGACAGAACACTGGGGTGGCAGTGGTGGAGGTGGTGGGGGTGGTGAGGGCAGTGAGGGTGGCAGTGGTGGAAGTGGTGGGGGTGGTGAGGGCGGTGAGGGCGGTGTGGGCGGTGTGGGCGGTGGGGGCGGTGGGGGCGGTGTGGGCGGTGTGGGCGCGGGGGGGTCCGGGCACGCATTGGCAGCCTTTAAATACTCTTTAAACACCTATACAAATACAGCGGTTAACTCCCCTGACAGAACACTGGGATGGTGGCAGTGGTGGAGGTGGTGGGGGTGGTGAGGGCGGTGAGGGCGGTGAGCGGTGGACGCGGGGGGGTCCGGGCACACATTGGCAGCCTTTAAATACTATTTAAACACCTATACAAATACAGCGGTTAACTCCCCTGACAGAACACTGGGGGTGGTGGCAGTGGTGGGTGAGGGTGGCAGTGGTGGAAGTGGTGGGGGAATGGGGGCGGTGGGGGTGGTGGGGGCGGTGGAGGTGTGGGCAGCCTTTAAATACTCTTTAAACACCTATACAAATACAGCGGTTAACTCCCCTGACAGAACACTGGGATGGTGGCAGTGGTGGAGGTGGTGGGGGTGGTGAGGGCGGGGAGGGCGGTGAGGGCGGTGTGGGCGGTGGGGGCGGTGGGGGCGGTGTGGGAGCGGGGGGGTCCGGGCACACATTGGCAGCCTTTAAAAATACACCTATACAAATACAGCGGTTAACTGGTGGCAGTGGTGGAAGTGGTGGGGGTGGTGAGGGCGGTGAGGGCGGTGTGGGCGGTGGGGGCGGTGGGGGCGGTGTGGGCGGTGGTGGCGCGGGGTCCGGGCACACATTGGCAGCCTTTAAATACTCTTTAAACACCTATACAAATACATCGGTTAACTCCCCTGACAGAACACTGGGGGTGGTGGCAGTGGTGGAGGTGGTGGGGGTGGTGAGGGCGGTGAGGGCGGTGTGGGCGGTGGGGGCGGTGGGGGCGGTGTGGTCGCGGGGGGGTCCGCGGACACATTGGCAGCCTTTAAATACTCTTTAAACACCTATACAAATACAGCGGTTAACTCCCCTGACAGAACACTGGGGGTGCTGGCAGTGGTGGAGGTGGTGGGGGTGGTGAGGGCGGTGAGGGCGGTGTGGGCGGGGGGCGGTCTGGGTGCGGGAGGATCAAGCGGTGAGGGCAGTGAGGGCGGTGAGGGCGGTGGCGGTGGGGGCGGTGGGGGCTCGGGCGGGTCCGGGCATACTTGGGCAGCCTTTTATTACTCTTTCCACACCTACAAATACAGCGGTGAAAGACTCTTTGATCAGAGCGGTGGAGGCGGTGGAAGCGGTGTGGGTGCGGACACCTCTCGGGATATCACGGGCGCCGCCCGCAGGGGTCGGCGGATAGTTGTTAGAAAGAAGTTAGAAAGAGTCCGCCGCCCGCAAGGCTGTCGTTGTTGGTGGGAGTGCTTGGTGCGCGTCCTGCGCATTCCCTCTATTTTTTCGTTTTGGAGGGGGTGGGGGGCGGGGCTGATTGCGCCAAGGCCCGACGGTAAGCCAGGAACTCCTGCACCCGTAGCCTGCAATCCCCAGCCACAACTTTTAGTTCTCGAGAGCAGCTTCTTGCACTTTCGTTTTCCTCCTTCAAGCTGCCAACTGCTTCGAAAGAGGGGAACAGTGGTGTAATTAGGGTCTGCAGGCATTCGCAATCTGTTTGAGCGTATGGAAGAAAAGTGTCGGAGGCCTCCAGTGTGTTCCTACATCTTTCGCAAGGACCATGTGCCGTTTCAGAGCTTTCCTACGCCAGATCGCGTTTGGAAGTGTGCGGGGCAGTTCCACTTCAGAGGTGTGCACGCAGATGTGTACGGAGCTCTTGCGATGCTGTGCACAGCGGCCAGCAAGTGCTGCTGACAAACCTTCTGCAACCTTTTTTACTTGCAGCGCTTGGTGCATCTGTGGCTTTACCCTGAGCCCCGAAAAGTGATCCCATGGCTATCCGACTTTTGCTTCAAAAGATGGACCCAGTGAACGTTGACAAAAAGGGTTCGTCTCTTTGTTAAAGACACTCCTCGTGCGAGCAGGGGAAAGGGAACAAGTGATCAAACAGTCTGGGGCCTGCTTGGCGCTGGGGCAGCGAAGAGAGGGCGGCCACAGCCACGTCCACGTGGCCTACAGGTTTGTCTGTCAAGACACCGCGTGAACATTGGCCTGCAAAACCAGCAAAACATTGAATGGACATGGTACAGGTGTAGGTTTCTGCGTGCTTGGGTGTCTGTCTGTCCTTGTCACTGTCTGCCCGCCCGCCTGCCTGCCTGCCTACCTGCATGCATGGATGCATGTACGTACGTATGCATGTCATCTCATGTCATGTAACATGTATGTAATGTTTGTATTCCGTATTGTTTGTAACGGAGTGCAATTTAGGGCACATCAGTGTGCAGTGCGCGCCGCGCGCAGTGTATGTGTGCAGTGTGGACGAGGAATGTTCTCTGCGTGTGCAATCGCTTCCAGGCTTGGCCTGGAGTGCTCCCTGCCCTCCCGGTGTCCCGGCGTCAGTGCGGCCCGAAGTCTCGGAGTGCCTCTCAGTCTCTGGCCTTCGAGGTTGACATCGGCTCTGGCAAGCAGCAAGGACGTGCTGAATCTGCTGCTTGGCGCTAGATTCCATTCTCCCCATATTCTCTCTGTCAGCAGAGCAACTCTGGGCAGGCTAGCTCATCTCGGAGATGGGCTTGATGATTTTCAGGGCAATCTGGAAGGTGCCTCGGCAGCCTCCGAGGCGACTTGTTCTCAGACCCCTGTTGAAGCAGCACGGCACAAGGGTGGACGCAAGAGCGCACAAAGAAGAATCTCACGCTGGAGTTCAAGAGGGTCTATGTAAGTGTGCAAGAATTGGTGTGTGCACAAGACATGCCCAAGTGCATGCAGAGGTGGGCAAGAAATATTAGATGGTCAGGCCGGCTCAATGCTTTGGATCTACCGCCCTCCTGCCTGGCTCTCCTGGACTCTTTAGGTGTAGACTTGCAAACCCGTCTTCAACAAGATGTCCTGCGGATGGCGGAAGATCAGCAACTTCTAGGGATGACTGAGGCGGGAAGTTGGGGTCTCTCTGCTTGAGTGTCAGTTCCTCATGCCGTACGATTATGTTGCTGTGGCTAGAGTCTCGCCAAAAAGAAAACGTGTTCTCTGCCGATTCGACCAAAGTCTCCGTAAAGCAAGCGCAGCACGTGATACTCGCAGACTGATGCGACGCCCAGGTTTCATTACGAGCTGTCTGTTTGTTCGCTGCTGACTTGTCGCCAGGCCCAAAGACTTGCCCGCGAATGGTGGCAGGCTGATGACCAGGCAGTCGGATAGTGATGTGTATCGCTGGGGGTCGAGACGCTTGATACACGACAGCGGTTCAGTCAGTGTCAAGTCGAGATTACTGCCAGGCCTTTGAAAACAACACGACTTTGCCGAAGACAGAGCTGGAGACGCTTGGATGAGTCAATGTGCGTTTGTCAGGGAAGGAAGGATGCTTGAAGACCGTGGCGAGTCCGACTTTCCCTAAAGAACAGAGCGCATCTCGGAACCCTGAGATTGCATTTAGGCAGCGGCGATCCGATGAGGGGAGTTGGCAAGTGGTGGCAAGGGCAAGAATCCTGGCATGTCAAGCCTCAGAGAACAAGCTTACAGCGAAAGCAGCAACGTCTTCAAGTGCCCATTGTGAAGTTGGCAGAGTTAGGGCCCGAAATCCTCCAAACTCCCAAAAATACTGACTGGCAACCGCACTCTTCCTATTCAGTCCCATTCAAGGACTGCAGTGGTTCACCGAGCATCTTTGCGAAGGAAGGCCGGTGCTTGTTTGCCTTTCGTTATTACAACTCAGCAGCGGGTAAGAACCACTGGAGCGCTCGTGTTGGAGCTTTCTGTTTCTTCGTTGTTCTTCATAACAGCTCCACCCGTCCCAAGCGGTTTTCTTTTGCAGTTGCAGACATTTGCAATAGTACGTGTTTGCGGACTGGCCTACCCTGACCCCTCGTCTTCCAACAAGCGGCTTGTCCTGCGCCTCTCACGGTAGCACCGTACAGTCGTATTTGTAGTAGGAGGAGCTGCTGCTGCTGCTGCTGCTCCTCTTGCTCTGCTGCTGCTGCTGCGCCTCCGTTTTCACTCCTGTCCCCACCCCTGCTGCTACTCCTATTATTGCGGCTGCTGCTGCTGCTTCTGTTGCTATTGCTGCTAACCACCTGCCACTACCTCCACCTACACAAACTATCTGCTGCTCCTACTGCGACTGCGACTGCTGCTGCTGCTGCTGCTGCTGCTGCCGCCAGCACTGAGGCTACTCACTACGACCACGTAAAGCACCACATCGACCAACCTCTCTGCTACTGTTTCTGTGATGGTTGCTGCTTTCTTGCAGCCTTTGTCGCCAATACCCACACAGAAAATAGCTGTGCACAGCAGCAATTTCATGCTGCTGATAGCGGTCACGACGATGATAGTTATCACAGCAATCGTAACGAACGGCGGAGCATCATTAATCATTAACCAGCCGTGCACTCAAAATCCGTGGTCTTCGGCTGGACTGGTGTAAAGGGAGAAGCCCAACAAGCCCCGGAAGCGGCCCAAACCCCAAGCCCCAACAACAAGCGCGTTACGAAGGGACGAGACGGCGTGTGCTTGGGCTCTGCAGAGAGCGGCGAGGCGGTGGCTGCAGCTGCACTCGAGGCCGCCACGGGCTGCGCTGTGCATTTGCCGCCACGGGCCCAGCTGAGCTGCGGAGCGCTGCCCAAAACCCGAAGGCTAATGGCTAACGCTGGCTGGGGCCCCTGGAGACTTTAAGACTGCACCTCTTGAAAGGTACATCTGTGAACTTCGAGAGACGAGGCCCTCGCTGCGCTTCATGCCGGTTTTGCAGGGCGTGAGGAGGTATGTAAACATGCTGCTGGTGCTACGACTAAGACTGCGACTACGACGACTAGACGACTACCATCCCCGCGACAACTAGCACTGCTATTACAAGCACATGCAGCCACAGATGAGAGTGATTAGAGATGATTAGAGTTTGCGACCGCCAGAGATCCAGAAGTGATCCAGAAGTGTACTGTCAAGCAAGCTCTTGTAGCCTAGACCTGACCTTCGGACCAGACAACATAGCATACTGCCACACTTCTTGAACTGTAGCCACGAGCTGAAAGGCGGAGTTTTGAACGTGACGAAGCTCTTGCCGACATCCTGAGGCGATGAAGGGGCTGGGGCCGCTGGGGTTCTGTCATTCTGTGTGCTGCCCTTTAAGGACTCGGTTGAAACGCAGGTGGACTGCCATGTCTGGCCGAGATGATGGCATCTTCGTGGGAGGGGAATTCAGCGGCAAAGGCATCGATGCCTTGACCTGCCTGTGCTCGCTACATCGCCGCTACATGCGGAGACCTGCCGTGTGAGGCCTGCATGTAGACCAGCGCCCGGAGAGCAACCTTGGCAAGCAGTGGCGAGGCTTGATGCTTGGCAAGGAGGTGCAACTGTAAGAAAGACTGCAGCACGAGAGGAGGCAGTGCCGCTCTGCAGCGCCGCAGCTCTATGCGTCCTATGCCTCGATGCTTGTTTTGTGTCGAAGGAAGCTCTTCGCCGCTTGGCCTCCGGGGTCCGCCGGCCAGGCGGTGCTCGAGAGCTGCTATGGCGAGGACCTCGGTGAGCCCTGCAATGAAAGGGGCTCCAAAGTTGCGACACCGCACTATTCGCCTCGAAGCTTCATGGTCCAATGGTCTCGATTCTGCTTGGATTTCGGGCTCTTCACCGTTCAGCTCACGCCGTGAGTCTTTCAACTCTCTCAGAGCCTGCCAAAAGTGCTCAGTAAAGGCGCCTTCGGGTCTTTTCCTGGTGTCTGGCAAGTCACCCTGTTCAACAGCTCTGGCATGGCAGCTGAGTATCAGTGAAGCCCCACCTTTCTCAGGCTTCTTGATACACCAGATGATTGCAGATTGCAGGCGAGATCTTCTGTCCGCCTTTGTTGGCCAAGCATTGCGAGGCGTTGAAGAAGTGCACGCAGCATGGAAGCAGTCAGTCACTTCCCAGTTGCTACCCAAAGATGACTCTTTTTGGTGCAAAGGCAGCTGTTCCTCCTTCGACCTGGAGATATCTTTCTGTTCAACGGTTCCATTGCCAGCAGAGAGCCTCGAGGGTAGGCGTCGCTCGGGGTCGTGCTTCGGCACCACGATCAGTGGTGACATAGTGGTGACTGAACATAAACTCAATGTTCTGAACTACCGTTCCCGGCACTTCCAGGCTCGATGCCGCACACAGCGCTTTGCATCGGCGATTCTCTCAATGTGACCAGCTACGTGTCCGGGATCGAGCTGGTGGGAGACACGTGCTCCGGCAGAGGCAGTAGCACTTGCGACTAAGGATGGCTTGCTAACGTGGCATCCTGGGCACATCGAGCAGTTCTTGCTGCTTGCTCGACGTTAAGAGCAGTCGTGGTCCTGCCTTCAAGCAGTCATCAGTGTCAAAGCGAACAGATCGCATGACCTTCTCCATTTGCGACACCTCGCTCCATTCGGTCTGACGACCACTGTAAAGGAACACAGCCTCGAGCTTCAGAGGACCTTGGCGAGATGTTGGCCTCAGCTGGAAGGCGCAGCGCGTTCTCTTTCCAAGGATGATACAGGGCTGCTGTCATACACACAGAAGTCCCACTGTACCGCGGCAGAACGCCAAAAGCCCAGGACCCCTGCAACGGAGACTTGCATTGTGTGAAGCGTCACCACCGTCACCAGATCATGCACCGCTTTCAGACCTTTTATGAGTGGTCGTCGTGGTTGGAGAAGGTAGGCGCCACTCCTGCATGCATCAGCAAACATACGGCATACGGCATTATCCAATAGTGTGTTGCATCTCCAAGTGATTATAACACGGACGAGTCATGGCGGCTTAAACCGATTTTACCTTGAAGAGATGCAGAGTAGTTCCCTGCCGAGAAGTTTCACTCCTGTTGTTTATGCAAGCGACTGTGAGTAGGATAGCCAGTGGGCTGTTAGGCAGTCAGGGCCTGAACAGGCAAGGAGTTAAGCGAAGGACGTGCAGGTGAGAGACTCCGGTTTTGTCGGTGTGAAGCTTTGACTTTGGTGACTCTGGTGACTCGGGGTCCAGAATCCTCCGGGCAGGGATTCCAGATGATGTGGATTTTTGGCTCGAACGGGCGCGGTTGACACTTGACCGCCGTGGCAGCGCCAAACGACGGGCAAAGCCACATGAGATGGCTGGGGATTAGCAGAGGACCAAGACGATGATGATGATCACGTCGCGATGGTGATATAAGGAAGGCAATCTCCCGCACAGAAAGAGGGACGACCGCAGGCCGCAGGCCCTTGGGCACGAACAGCGAAGCACCGAGGCAGGAGCTCCCAACAAGGCCCGTCGTTAAGCCCCCAAGCACCGCACTTTTGCGCTGCGGGCTTCTATGCTCTGCTTCCGCTGCTTCCACGCTGTGTCTGCTTCCGCTGATGTTTGCTCCGCCACATGTGCCGCTAAGAGTTGCCGTTGCGAGTCTCACACGCATGTCATGCGGCCGGCAGGTGGAGCTCCTGACTGCCTGGAAGGCCACTACCGCTAGTGCAAGGATGTAGCGACTGTATCTTTGCGGTGCTGCTCCTGGTTGGACCGTCCAGTCGGACCTCGTCCAAGTCCTAGGCTTCCCATGTCCTACTCTGCGACATCCACGCCTGTGACATGAGCTTAGCAGCACGTCAGGAGGCACGGAAGCACAGCCAGGAGGCATCGGGGGAGCGGCTTTTTCAAGCTTGAGGTCCCAAATTGCCAAGGCTAAGACGCGCAAATTTGGCGCTTTTTGACGGATTCGCGAGCGCGTGTTTGCAGCTTGGAGTCTGGGAGCGGAAGAAATTTCGAGCTGGATGTTCGAGTTGCACAGCTCAACATGATGAAAGCCGTTGCGGCAGGGCTCACCGCCTGCCGAGCTGTCTTCCTTGCTCCAGGAGGCTGCGACCTGGAGCGTCTGAGAAAAGTGGCTTTGGTTCGTAGCATCCCAAAGCACTCGGTCGCTAGACATGTGGCCGGATCCGCAGACCGAAGATCGGCTAGGGCGGCTGGGACTCTGCCGATACCAAACGCAGCATTTGTGCAGCGTTTGAGTTTGGCTGGGCTGAACTTTGGTATTTTTCGCCCCTGCATCTGCAGGCTGCACGACTCTTGAGCAGCGATGGCTTCTGTCAAGAGCTCACAGGCCTGGTGACAAAGGGCAGTCGTTCCACAGCTTCAGCACTGTCGGCTAGGTTGGATTCAGGCCTTGCGCACGAGTTCAACCTTACGTGATTAGGGCCGTCGTTCAGCAATTCTGGTGCCATGCATCTCAGGCTGCCTGAGACAGGCTTGTGCGAAGAGGTACACTTCCTTGCGTGACTGAATTCCCGAAGACTACGGGCTGCAAGGTGCTGATGAGCTGCCTCTTCAGTCTGATGAGGCATCACCGGCATTTGGGCGGATACTCCGGATGTGCTCCTAGCAGGGAGCATTGTAGCATTCCGCATCCTGACATGGGCTTCTGCAGCTCAGGGCGTGGCCAATCACGATGGCTAGCCCTCGATCTGAGGGAAATTGCATGAGATTAGGCCATGACTAAGCCTCGTGAGGAGACTTTCGCTGTCCAGGGCCCTGGGCCCCCAGAGGGCCCCCAGAGCCAGAGCACAGCCAGAGCACTCCAAAGTCCAAAGCCTTAGAGGACGTGTTACTTCGCTTTGCCCCAGGAGCTTGCGGCCGCCAAGCGACGCAAAACAGATGCGAAGGGTTCAAAGATGACGAGTGCTGCGTGGCTTCTGCTTCTGTCGATGAGCGAAGAGGTTTTGCTTGGAGGGCACATATGACAGGGTGGAGAACGAATCGGAATGTATCCGGAGTGTAAGCAAGTTTCATATTATGCTGTTGAATGCGTTTGTAGATGCCACATCATCTCCATTGCATTGCCCCGGTCAGTTTTGCCGACTTGATGTTCGGCGACTTCTTCGACCGGAATGAGAAGCCGTTCGGATCTTGGGTGTTTCCTGTGCATCGTCTCCCCAGTCTTTGTCACAAGACCTGGCCCTCAACTCAAGTGGAAGCTCATGAAATCCTCCACACACAAGACTCGTCACGCTCTCCTTTGGGCAGGCATTATAGATGAGAGATGCTCCTGCTTGAGACCTCTCTTTTCAGGTACGTCCAAGCCACGGACCCCGTGAGGACGCAACTCACCTTCGAGGAAGCATTGGAGGCGCCGAGCGGGAGCGCAGGGGGCAGGGGACTAACCGGCTAACCGCACTACTTTTCTGGGAGGAATTTTCCCTTTGGCCCTTTCTGCCTGATTCTGCCTTTCGTTAGGAATACAATGGCATGAATGCCAGCAAGATGAACTTGGTCTTCTTCAAGGACCCGCTGCACGGCTCGTCTCGGCTCGTGATAAGTCATGGTGTCATTGCGCCTCACCATAAAGACATGCAAAGTACATGAACTTGACCGCCGGTAGCTCCCGTGCCGGAGGATGCTCAGGAACACCTTGCCCGTGCTGCAAGAATCATTCGCCAACCACGAGGTCAGACCGTGTGCACCTCGGGTTTGTCCTGGTACACAGGCTCAAGCAGCCACAGGATGTCAGGTGTGTTTGAGGACGGTGTATCCATCGGATTGAACGCAAAGTTGAGCGGATAAAGATCTGCCCGGCAGGCAACGCCCTGCTTGTCGGCGTCAGTGGCGTGGGCAGGAAGAGTCTGGCAAGAATGGCTGCGCACATGGCCGAGGCAGGCGAGTCCTTCGGGTCCTTCGGGCCTCCTTCGGGGGGGTCTCGGTCCGCCGGGGTTGGCCAGAGCCGAGCTGCCGAGCTGCCTTTCGCATGACCAGATATCTGCACTCTGAGCTCCTCAGCTCCCCTTCTGCCACGCCAGTTCGCCTGCAGCTCCATCGAGATCACGCGCACCTACGGCCTCTAGCTCTGTGCAACGAGAGGCGACCTAGGATCTGAGAATTCGACTTCTGGGCTCAGGTGTGAACGACTTCCGTGAAGACTTGAAGCGAATGATGATGGACGTGTGTCTGGGCAGAACAAGGGACAGGACTACAAAACATGTCGAGTTTCGCTAGAGATCTCGTTGCACAGACCCACGGCATTAAAAGGCACCGTAGCCCAACTCCGAGCACGAGAGCAATCCCTCCCGTGTGGGCAGGTAGAAGCCCGCACACAGATGGACAGACAGCAGAAGCTTGCAGTTTGCATGCCAGTTCTGCTTTCCGCTCATGTCCTGCTCTTGTGTCAACTCCCATGCTCGGGCCGGGGGTGTTTGTTTGTGCGTGCGTGCTTGGGTGTGGGTGTGGGTGTGGGGGTGGGGGTGGGGGTGGGGGTGGGGGTGGGGGTGGGGGTGGGGGTGGGGGTGGGTGTGTGTGTGTGTGTGTCTCTGTATGTCTGTGTGTGTGTGTGTGTGTGTCTGTGTGTGTGTCTGTGTGTGTGTGTGTGTGTGTGTGTGTGTGTGTGTCTGTGTGTGTGTGTGTGTCTGTGTGTGTCTGTGTGTCTGTGTGTCTGTGTGTCTGTGTGTCTGTGTGTCTGTGTGTCTGTGTGTCTGTGTGTGTGTGTGTGTGCGTGTGCGCGCGTGCAGTGCAGCATTTCGATTGAACTCCCCAGACCTGCTCAAGCCCCAAACATTGTGGCCAACTGAGGTTGAAGAGCGAGGGGAAGGCCTCTTCAACCGCACACAGACCTTTGGCGGACTCTTTTGCGGCTGTCGCCATGCTAAGCAGTCAAAGTCAAGCGCACCTTGTGCTAGCAACCTCTGCCCATTGTCAGCCCTCCCAATCTGAAGCTCTGAGTTTGGGTTCATCAGATTGAGAGTTGGGCAGTGACAGTGCGAATGTGGAAGTCCGAGCTACCAGGGCCTGGCTTTCCTCTTCTCGGACACGCAGATTGTCAAGGCCTCGCCACGCTGAGATGTTAACGGTGGCAAGAACTGGGAGACTGCCAAGACAAAGGAGAGTGCATCGCAAAATTGCAAAGTGGCAGTCTGCGAATGTTGATGACATTCAACTGTTGTTGTAAATCGATGTGGAGTCTTGCCCTGCTAGTCGCAGACCCGACAGTCAAATGCGACGACAATTCAAGAAAGATCTGTCGACCATATATATGTCATGTGTTGAGTTTGGCAGGCTTGGGTGCGCATGTATCATCTGCGATTGCTATCATGTCTTTTGGTTCAAGCCTGGCAGTTGAGCCAAAAGGCAGGATTTTGTTTGCCATTAGCCCGCGGTGGTGTCCCGCTTACTATGACAGATGCTTTTGATCAGGAGTCTCCCGAGTTCTTCATTTATGTGTTCAGCCGCTTTGCTGTTCGCAGGTGTTGCATCCTGCGGCTATGTTGGACCTCCGGGCTCAGTTGCGGTATTTGGTTTCCGAGGGTCGGAACTGGAATGCTGCACGCCTTTGGGCTTCAGCACTTCAAATCCAGCATTACCCTCCCCCGCCCCCTTTGCTCGATGGTTTGCCTGCAGGTATGCCACCGATCCGCACGGTTCCGTGTGTCGCCACGGACTGTGCCCGGTGCGCCCAGAGCCGGGGAGGGTTCCAGCTGCCTTTTGTGGGTACTTTCACACATGCAGCTGCAATTGTCCGCCCAGGGAGTGAACCGGCTCAAGCGTGGAGTGATTACCATGCGTGCCGCTCCTATTTGTCGGCGGGCGACGTGTCCTCCCTTCATCCGGGACTTTGGCCCACAGATTTATTGCCGAACCACCTCCATGCTCTCTTTTCCAGGGTGGCGGATCAGGGGTGGGTCTCGGTCAGCCAGCTCGGCCGAGCTGTGGATTATTTTTCGGCGCTGGCAAGCCGGGAACCGGGTCTGGATCGAGCCTGGTTATGAGGTGCCGTCTCGGGCTGCCGGCCGTGAGGATGCCAGGGCCCGCGCGCACCGGTCTCTTTGGCTGTGGTTGGGGGCTGTCGCCTTTGGACCAGGGCTGCTTCCCTCGGCCTGCCACAGCTGTGGGTTGCCTACAGCCTTCCGGTGCCGACGCTGCGACGTAGCAACCTGTGGAGATTGCCTATCCGGTGCAGCCGATCGGGGTGACCTTTGGCGGGAGCGACCCGACCATACTTATTACTGGCCTGGGCCGGCGGCCGCGGAGTCGACCGCTGGAAGGCCTTTATTTTGGGGCGCGGACCCCCCAGGCTCCGTGGAAGGAGTCTCTGTCCGGAGTGGACCTGGACCTTCGTCTGCGCGGTGGCGACCCGCTCGATCTTGAGTCTGTCTCCCGCACTTCTGCTGCTGCCGTTGCCCAGGTTCGCGGATCTTCCTCATGGCGGCTTCTCGGCTCAGGCCTTTGCTAGCAGCTGCGATGGCCGGTGTGTACGCGCAGCAGTCCCTCGAGGTGGCGGGCGATGGCGACGGTGAGCCTGGACCGTTCTGTGGAGGGCACCCCAGTATAGAGGTCAGAGTCGACGCTTGGCGCCGCGCTTTCGGCCTTACCGAGGACGAGGAGTTCGCCTAGGTATTTATGTCGGTTGAGGAGGCACAGCGCCAGGCCGGAGCCGAGATCGCAGCAGCCTGGCGTGAAGTCCGCGAGCGGGTCGATGAGGGCAAGGCCTTGTGGCTTTCGCCCAGCTCGCCACTATACCACGGCGCCGTGCCACAGTGCCTAAGGCACCATTGCGGGCACGCCCTTCGGTGGAACGCGCTGCCTTGGAGACACCATTGGTCGAGGAACTCGCCGACCTTTGGGTAGATGCCAAGGTGCAGCGACCCAGTGGCGAGCTGAATGCCGGGCGCCAAACAGAATGGGAGAGCTTCGTGAGGCGCCGGCGGCGAATGGCGAAGGTTTGTGGCGAGGCGGAGGTGGCTACGATCAAGAAGTCCGTGGTCTCCCTCCGTGAGCTCCAGCACTTCCAGGTCGCCCGTGGCAGAGACGGGCTGGAGGAGAGGTCGACAGCCTCGATCTGGATGCCTTCGTCTTCAATTGTGCGGCTCCCCACCGCGCGGTGGCTGGCCTGCGTTGGGCCGCCAAACAGGCAGAGCTTGCCTGGAGGATCCCGGATGCGCCCCGCACCGAGCAGCGCCGGAAGCCTAAAAGGATGAGAGGCAGGCCACGCTCGCAGAGCCCCCGATGCTGAGCGGTGCCTTCTGGGAGACCCCAGGTGGACCGCTATGCTGGCCCACCTCCGCCGCAGCGAGGTATTGCGCATCATGGGGTCGACCGTGCATGCCTTCTGCAACAAGGGGAAGCAGTGGCGCCTGCTAGGAGGCAGAGCTTTTACTTTGCCATCCCGGCTTCCTTTGCCTCGGGGTGGAACTGGACCGACGGACCGAACCATGGAAGGAGGCGTTCGAAGCCTTGCCCAAGCGCCGTCGAAGCCAGTGCGGGCTCTGTTTCGACAACCGTGGCTTCTCTTGGTCGCTGCGGGAGTCGACCCTTGCAGTCCAGTCTGCTTTCAACGACGTGGTGGCCAACCCCCAAGAGCTGACCTCTTACAGCTGGAGGAGGTTAATGGGGCCCTCCTTGGCGATGCTGGCTATAGGCTTTCGCCGGGCGAAGCTAACGCCCTAGTGGCGACTGGCAGGTACAGTGGCTTGCGCTACAAGGAAAGTGTTCGGGTCAAGCACTTGGTGTGGGCCTTTTTGGGGGAGCTGCGCCCCTATCCCACTTGGGACGCCGTTACTCCCCAGGACGTGGCGGAGCACACCACCTTGGCGCAGTCGCTTTGTGAGGCGCAGGTCAAGGCCGACAAGCAGGTCGGCCTTTGCAGCCCACAAGCCCAAGAAGTTTACCATGCGCTTGGCTACCCCGCTTGCTCGTCGTTCACTGGCTGGCCCGGTCCTGCCCCTGGCCAAGCGTCGGGCCCGAAGGGCGGTGGAGCCCAAGGCGGCAGCGAGCAGCTCGGCGGGCCCCGGTCCTGTCAAGCATACCCCGATGCCGGCGTACATTGGCAGGCGCAAGGCCTCGCAGACCTTCAAGGATGGCAGGCGGCTGTGTGCCACTTCAACTTGGGCGACTGCCGAAGAGGAGACTCTTGCCCCGATCAGCACCGCTGGTGCTGCCACGAAGCCCTCGTCTGGAAGGGTCTGTGGAGGCCGCCATCCGGCCGCCGCGTGCCGCGACAAGAAGTACTCCTTGCCGGACTCCTTTGTCATCCCGCAGGAGTCGCCAGCTTTCCCGCTAGTCTCGCGCCGGCGCTGGCAGAGACCTCGGCAGAAGGCAGCAAAAGGGGCAGCAGACTGGACGAGGGCGGCACCGTGGCCCCACCACTTCCACTGGTCCCAAGGCCCGGAGCTCTGCCTTGCAGCGCTACCGCCAGGCCCAGCGCGGAAGGGTGCGCACCAAGACCAAGGCCATGCCCAAGGTTATCGCCAGGCCAGACCCGCCCGCAGTTCCCGCGGATCCACCTCCAAGTCACATGTCTGGACCAGACCCCTGAACGGAGGTGTGTCCCTCTGCAGCCGCAACCTTCTCTTCAACGTGTCGGCCCAGCGTTCCCGAGAGGCAGAGGGCTCCGCAAAATCGGTAAGGTTGCACGGACCGTGCTGGCGGGAGACAACGCCTTGGCGCACTGGTGACCGGCGTGGCTTGCCGAGCAGTGCTTGCAAATGAGACCCAGGAGGATATCCTGAGAGTTCGGGAGATCGAGGTGGGCCGCGCCATTCAGCAAGACCGCAGCCTGGGTGTATGGTTGGCCGGGGCCGTGCGTAACACACGGGTGCCCCCCACGCCAACGAGGCCACGGAAGGATATCGCCACCGAGAACTCGCACCTCCATTTGGAGTCCCCGGAAGAGGGCGTCCCCCTTTGCAAGCACAAGCAAGGTGTTGAGAGGCGCCGCTAATTGGCAAACCCGCAGCGTACGACTAGCAAGCTAGAGGCCATT